GTAGTTGATGACATTGTCCTCACAGGAACAACCGACCAGTCATATCTCTACTATCGCCGACTTGTCCCATACCGTTCAAGACTGTTTAATGTTTATGCTGGTCAGGGCTGAATGACATTGCTAAAACATAATGCCGCCGGTGGCTGCTCTTACCTAAACTGGTTTCATGCTTTACATTTCGTATTCATACTTGATCACCATTCGTAGCACGACTGGCAAAAAGAATGAATGAGACAAATAAACACAGCATGCTTAAGTTACTCAAGTTTAAACACAGCCGATGTACACGTGATCTGTGAATGATCGTAAGTCGGTTGAACTGAAGCCAGGCGTGATGACTTCCTGATCCATGGTTGTCGGATAAGCACCAAATCATCTCGCCTAAAGCAGCCCGTCCAATTTACCGTGCGCCCAAAATCCGGCTAAAATACTTCGATATATCCTCTCCACCGAAACCCACGTGACCTAGGCTTAATTAATAGTCCTCCAAGTACAAGTACGTCGACAGCGGTGTCCAACACAGCGAGTGGCGGTTTCTCGCGTGGCCGTACCGTCATCCGAAACGGCGTTTTGTCATGGCGCTGACAGGCGCTGCCCGCCGCTGGTACTGTCTTACACAGACCGGCCCGCTCCGCCATGATAATTACCGGCGTCACGTGACAAATGAGCCGGTCTCGGCCATCTGGTCGGTGCGCAGGCAAATTACCTTGCCTCGAAAGTGGTCGAGAAAGCGCCACAAGAGCGACGCCCAGACGACTGTTTTTCACAGATTAAGCAGATCGGTTCGTCTGCTGACGCCGCTTACAGTCCTGGGCGAGATAACGCTGGCGGGCGACCGGCGAGGGAGAAGTGATCGGGAGTTCTTTGCGATTTCGTTAACCGGTAACATTTGGAAGAAGATCGCTTGCTTCAAGACGGGAAACCTTGTGATACAGGAAACAGCTGAACAAACCACGTACGCATGCCGCTAAAGATACAGATAGAAAAAAAACAGCAGGAGCAGAGGAAATACTAAAATGGCAGGACCAGAACAGTGCACCGGCTAGGAAACTGTCGTGCTAATAACACATCAATGTCTGGGAAAGACGCAGTTGAAACTGACATCGACAAGTATACGTCAGTCATACGTTGTGCGAATGGATGTGCCACGATGTCGGAGGCAGACTGATACATAGAGCGTAAACTGTTATAGTCATGGAGCCTGACACAACGAGCACATATACACAAAAACTAGCCTACGCCAACTCGTGCAAGAAAAGGAGACTCCTCAGTGGGTAAAGATTTCTCGGTATTTTACTCACGTGTATGTAGATTATAAGCACAGGTTTCTGCTCTACGACAGTGGCGTAAAGAGAAACGACGACTTCAATGTCGATAAGGTAATGGTCCGGTTCGCTAATTTTTGCGCGTACGTCTGCACATCCGCGTTTATTTAGCCAGACGGCGGCGCGTATTGCCGTGAAATTTGCACGCACGACGGGTCACCTTTGTCACAGCTCATGACATAAATCATGCTTGTTCGACACCAGTGTCCGTCACAGCTTGAGAGAGAGGAGCGTGTATCGGGATTTAACACGGAGAGAATTTTTTGTATGCGGAAGAAGAACAAGTGGTGTAAAGGCCAGGCCCACGAAAACATGTAGCAAAGCTTGAGCAATGATGAACGTGGCGTCTCAGCACGTAAGGACTGTCAGCTGAGAGGAAGTTTGCAGCATTATGAAAACTGGGTAAGGCACGCTGTGCATCAATGAGATATGAACTAATGAGTGGGTGGAGGCGGTGCCATGCTGACACGCCAAGCATCGCGCAAGCATGAACAACAGCTAAATAATGCATGTTCGATGCCTTGAATGCACAGAACAGCGTCGACGGTTAATATTTCCAAGCGACCCACGAATGTTGAACGGCTTACCAATGTCAACACGCGCTCGGGTTGGGGCGAGCGCGTCGCATTTACCGGCGTCACAGGCGCGTGTTAACTCAGCGATACAGCCAAGGAATAAGGTGCGCGGGGACTCGTCCCTCTAAGCCCCGAGTCTTGCAACAGATGCTGGATGACTTCGCAGGGATTCGTCCAAATTCGTAGGAGTTTCCAGGAAATCTGACATTTGACTCACCCATGAGGAAACTTCTTCTCAGGCTTGTACCTTGCCCTTTCCCATTTGGTGTTGCATGCCTAGTTGAGAAAGCTTGTGGAGCCTACCATTTCAGGAACGTTAGAAAATTGCCATCCGTAGAGGGTCAGGACTTCAAAGTCATGGAATGCACGTGGGTCATGTCTAATCTTTGACGCATGTTTCCTTATGGATTGTGCGCTTTTCTGTTTCAGATCCCGATCACCTTGCATGTGCACTTTACCATCTAAAGAACAACTGTGCGAACTTCTTATGCCCAGTTAATTGGACCTTACCGAGTACGAACTATTCGATGATATCCATATTTTGAGCATCTTGGTCACCTGGAAAGGTTGCCCAAAGATTTTGTTGCCTGAGCCGCAGTGACAATTCGCATTCACAGCTTACAAAGGTGGCTATTACGGTTACTATTCGACATGCAAGTGCATCTGTAATAGGTCTTTTTAATTTTTTCGGTGGCGGTTTTTCCTTTGGTTTTGGTTCTGTCCAATGAACCAGCTATCAAAGCCCTTCTACCACGCCTTGCGCTCCTTCGTTTTGTTTTGCGTGTGCAGTTCTCGCTTGCCAATTTTGGGATCTTGCGTCTTGCTTCGACTATTCGTTTGTGTGTTGCTATACGAATTTATTTCAGTTACTCCGCCTCAAACAGATTAAGTTTGTCGCTCAACCTATACCTACCCCCTCCCCAAATTGCATCGGACAGAAAAAATATCATTACACGCCAGTTTGTAACGTCAGGTGACGTCTTTGTTCTACACTCTCTCTAACTCTCCAGTCACACTTTTACACCAAGCAGCTTCGAATCTTTATAACGCTGAGTGGCACCAACTTAACTCCATTTCCGCCGTTCAACACTTCTTCCAATTTTAAACATATATGCTTGCTATGTGCCACCAATCTGCCATTTGATCTAAGCGATAAGCTTGTAAGTTTTCGGTTTAAACCACTTGCATCAGTTGCTTATCTTTATTTTACACGACCTGCCTTGACGTGAACTCGGATTCAATTTCCCCCTGAAGGTTTTTCCGAATTGTTTTTTGCATAGCCAAACTTCGCATGGCTGTAGACAATTGAATAGCACATTGTTTGGTACCAAAAATTTAGATGTACTTTGTAAGGTCGCTGACCAATGGCAGGTCAAGGTCAGACAATACATCCAGCGAAGACAATTTAGAGGGAATCGTTCAATCTGATACAATAATGGAGTGTTAAACAAAGCGGTGCATCTCTAAGATAGGTTGGCAACACAGCAATTAATTGAAAAAATTACATTGGCAAATGGTCTGGTATGAGGGTCAGACCAAGGTCAAAATAAACCTGCGTTATCACTCTAGATCTTGCTGTGTGGGCAGCTTCTGGTGCTTATTTTGATTTCATTGATAACAGGAACCACATCATAAATCTTCCACGAATTTATTAAAGGTCAGAATGGGTCACTGGCCTCAAATGGCCCGGGTCAAAATTTTGTGTTCTGGAACATACTGTCTTGCATTTTTTAGGCTTATTTAAATACAAGCTCCAAGTAGTCTTATATTATTTTGGTTACCATGACCTTCGACAGGTTAATCAGGGTCACTAACCTTAAATGAACACCAGTAACGTTTTGCTTCGAACAGGTGTCTAAGTTTTGTAAGCACTTTGGATACCAATGTGGAGTTTAGCTTTGTCTGACCTCATTTAAGCCGAAGATCATGACCTAGGAACCCCATATTTCGTCACGAGTGAGTTCACGTACAGCCTAATGCACCCTCTAAAGTTGGTGTCTCTACGTCTATTAGTGTCTGAGATTGCAGCGGGCCTAAACTGACCCCCATCCGAGCGAAGGGTATCAAACCGGCCACCCGAGCGTGTGTTAAGGACGGCTGTCGGCACACTAACACCAACAACGGAAGATCATTCTCAACTGGTTTGCGTCTACCCGAGCGGGCAGCTGCATGACCAGAACAAGCTTTTTCAAGAACCTGACGGCTGTGATCCTCTTTCACAAGTATATCACAACGCTAGCCTGGCGTTGACCGCGAATGAATCACTTGGTGCAGTTCTGCCCAGCGCACAGGAAACGTCCCGATCGATGGTGATGTGGGCAGCTTGATAACTGAGACTATCTACTGCGATCAAATTATAATGCGTTCGATTGATCAAAGTTAGTTCTCCCAAGAAGGAGTGAAGGGAACAGTTTGACCTTGTTAAACTTAAACGACTAGAATGCATACCATCAGATATGCGCGAACATGGATATCTGATGGGTATTCCAGTCCACAGCAATGACATCATCCAGCGTGTGAAGGTATAAGATTAGTGAGGTTTTCCAAGTGTAAATTCTGGCCGTATGTTAACTTCCACGTTGAAGCAATTTCGAGCAGCTTTTCTTCGCGCAGATGCATGAGAAGCTGACGAGGGCTTCAATGCGAGACCTGTTTCATAAATGCATATTCCATTGTTTTAACCAAAACTCGAGTGTCCAGTTCTCACAATGGTCTGCAGTAATAAGATCTATTACGTGGAAACTGTACGCAAAGTTGGGACGCAGTCATTGGTCACATGAGGTGGCGACCCGAGTCCCATATAGCTGCTGTTTTAACCCTAGCATGTGTCAGGGGATGTCTGCGGCATCCGATATCCCCTTTTTATCGTCCCCCATGCAGTATCGAGTCGACCCGGTTCTGAGCCCCAGAACTATCAGGGTCAAGTGCAGTCACCGGCGGGACCGGCAGCGCTCCGCGCACCCCGCGCGCTCCGCGTGACCCGCGTGCCTCCACCTCCCGCTGTGACAGCGGCTCTGTTGCAGGACGCGACCATGCCGGGACCAGCGGGGGCCAGCGGCGGGGCGGGCCAGCCGTCGGGGAACCCGGCCCTGCTGGAGATGGCACGAGGCCTCGGAATCGACGTCGAACAGCTGCTGGCAGCGGCGATACAGCGAGCCATGGGAGCCGAGGATGATCGGACCACAGCCGGTGACGCACGGGTGACGTCCCAGGATGAAGGCTCTGTGCCCTGGGAAGAACAAGAAGCACCTCAGGCAGAAACAACAGCGGCACAAGGACCGCCTCGGTTGGAACCAACAGCGGCACAAGCAGTCCCTCATGTGGAGCCAACAACTGCACAAGGAGCATCCCAGGTGGAAACAACAGCGGCACAAGAAGGAAATCAGGTGGGAACAGCCGCGGCACAAGAAGCACCTCAGGCGGAAACAACAGTGGCGCAAAAAGCACCTCAAACGGAAAAAACAGCAGCACAAGAAGCACCTCAGACGGAAACAACAGTGGCGCGAGGAGCGCATCGGTTGGAGCCAACGACGGCACAAGGAGCCCCCCATGCGGAGCCAACAACTGCACAAGGAGCATCTCAGGAGGAACCAACTGCGGCACAAGGAGCATCTCAGGCGGAACCAACGGCGGCACAAGGAGCACCTCAGGCGGAAACAGCGACACAAGGAGAGCCTCATGCGGAAACATCGACACAGGGAGAGCCTCATAAGGGAACATCGGCACAAGGAGAGCCTCATGCGGAAACATCGACACAAGGGGAGCCTCATGCGGAAGAATCGACACAAGGAGAGCCTCATGCGGAAACATCGGCACAAGGAGAACCTCATGCAAAACCAACATCGGCACAAGGAGAGCTTCAGGCGAAACCAACAGCGACACGAGAAGAGCGTCGTGCGGAAACAGCAGCAGCACAAGGGGAGCCTCAGGCGGAACCAACATCGGCACAAGGAGAGCCCCATGCGAAACCAACATCGGCACAAGGAGAGCCTCAGGGGGAACCAACAGCGACACAAGAAGAGCCTCATGCGGAAACAGCAGCGACACAAAGACAGCCTCATGCGGAAACAGCAGCGGCACAAGGGGAGCCTCAGGCGGAACCAACATCGACACAAGGAGCGCCTCAGGCGAAACCAACATCGGCACAAGGAGCGCCTCAGGCGAAACCAACATCGGCACAAGGAGAGCCTCAGGCCAAACCAGCATCGACGCAAGGAGCGCCTCAGGCGAAACCAACATCGGAACAAGGAGAGCCTCGGGCGCGACCAACAGCGACGCAAGGAGAGCCTCATGCAGAAACATCGGCACAAGGAGAGCCTCAGGCGGAACCAACATCGACACAAGGAGCGTCTCGGACGAAACCAACATCGGCACAAGGAGAGCCCCAGGCGAAACCAACATCGGCACAAGGAGAGCCCCAGGCGAAACCAACATCGGCACAAGGAGAGCCCCAGGCGAAACCAACATCGGCACAAGGAGAAACCCAGGCGCAACCAACATCGGCACAAGGAGAGCCTCAGGGGGAACCAACATCGGCACAAGGAGCGCCTCAGGCGAAACCAGCATCGGCGCAAGGAGCGCCTCAGGCGAAACCAACATCGGCGCAAGGAGCGCCTCAGGCGAAACCAATATTGGCACAAAGGGAGCTTAAGACGGAACCAACATCGGCACAAGGAGAGCCTCAGGCGAAACCAACATCGGCACAAGGAGAGCCTCAGGCGGTACCAACATCGACACAAGGAGAGCCTCAGGCGAAACCAACATCGACACAAGGAACGCCTCAGGCGAAACCAACATCGGCACAAGGAGAGCCTCAGGCGAAACCAACATCGGCACAAGGAGAGCCTCATGCGGAAACAGCAGCGGCACAAGAAGCACCTCAGGCGAAAAAAGCAGTACAAGGAGCGCTTCAGGCGGAAACAACGGCACAGGGAGAGCCTCAGGCGGAAACAACAGCGGCAAAAGGAGAACATGAGTCCCAAAACCCTCCGCTGGCAGCATCGTGCTCTTACAGCCCTCGGGGGCCACTTCCCTCTCATATGGACCCAAGTGCCGTGACAACGCACAGTCCCACAAAGGACGCGCGACCCTCCCAGCCGAGCCAAGAAGACCGCAAAGCGCAGAGTCTTCAGCAAGAGACCGTGGCTATCTCGTCGAACCAGGGCGATATCACAGTGCCGAGTCCTCTGGAGCAAACACCCACCCTTCAACAAGATCCAGCGAGCGCCCGAGAGCCTACGATGGGCGTAGACAAAGGCAGAAAATCCGATTTAAGAATGGTGGCTCCGGTTCCTAGCCCAAGAAAGATCAGGAATACATCTCATGAAGTTAAAGCTGTACTGAATGCGCCAACCCCTATCCCACGAAAGCCAAGAGAAACCACAGGAGTGTCGACAGCAGCGTTGCCACGTCCAGTGCCAATTCCGCGGAAAAGCGCGGGTGTGGAGACGAAGGCAATAGTGGAGGCTCAAGTAGAGAAGCAAGCGGAAGCAGTAGAAATCAATCTCCCTTTGTCCAGAACAGTCACTGGCGTGCCGAGTGATGCCCAGCAGCCTGCACCATCAGGAAACAAACCAGCGGGCACACGGGAAGCCGAGCGAGGTAGCCGAGCGCCGTGTGCCACAGATTCGCCCAGTGTAACGGTGGACCACTGCGGCGGTCAGAGAGGACACGCCAGGGACTCAGAACCCGTCTGCCCGCCGCCGACGCCGGAGCAGTCGCGCGATGTTGATGAGCCGACGCAGGCAGCCGATGAACCCAACGAGGCTCACTGTCGGCCCTCAGTGACTGCTGGTCCATCCATCGACGTTCAGCCATCCCGAGGAACTGCAGAGCTTAGCGATCCAGATGGCGGGAGGAAAACAACAGCAAGAGAGAACTTTGCGTCGTCCGATGTCGACAGTTGTCAAACTGTACCGGACCTATCCTCCCCATGCCAAGGTAATCTACCTGAGGTCGCACCCGTTCTTCCGATAGTTATCCATTTAGATCCCCGCAAGGAAGAAGAAGCTTTGCAAGACAACGGAGCACAGATGTCTGAGCCTGCAGACCTTCTAGCGGGGACTGGTGAAGAATCGAAGCGGTGCTCGGACGTTGCAGACACTGAAACAGACTGCGAGGGATGGCAAGTCGCACGGGCTGGAGGAACAGAGACGACATATGTTACCATCATAACCGAGATCGCTGCGAACCCAGCGGCCACAATTGCGACAAGTGCTCATTCAGAGGTCACTGAGGATGCAGCCACTGAGGTTACGGGTGGTGAAGCTGCTGTCACCGACGCTACTGGGGCCGCAGACCTTGAAGTCACTAGAGCTACGAAAGTTGCTGTCGCTACGGAGATCGATCCAGCGGGTTCTACAGACGTCACCGCAGCTACAGCCGCTGACCTCTCTCAGGCTGCAACACCCGAGGTCGCTGCACCTGGATCTACCGAGGTCACCACTACCGAAGATACTGTACCTACATCCACTGAGATCACTAAAACCTCAATACCAAAACCTCTGCAAACGCTTACATTGGGGTCACTGGAACGCCTCCTGGCGACGTCGCTGCGCATATGGCCGCTGTTGTCCTTGAAGCTGAGCGTGCCTATGTTGCCACACCTGTGTCTGCTGGAGGCTTCGGAGCTGCGTCAACGGAGCTCATCGGGGCTTGCTCTTCAGATCTCATCGACACTGAATCTGGAAAGGCGGCTGCAGGAACCGATGTGATCGGACCTGCACCCTCCATGCTCGGTGCGTTGGCGCCTCCAGCTGGACCTGAGGCCGGCCATTCCATCACGCAAGACATGGGGGCCATGCTTCAGAAGCTTATGAGCCTGCCCGTTCCATCTGACCCTCCTGGTTCTCCCAGGCGGTCGGGAAGCGCCATCGTAACACCTTCAGTGGAAGACGTCAGCGTCGAGGCGCAGCGCTCGCGAGAGACGGGATCGGAGACCACCGTCGCGAAGCTCAGCCTCAGTGAGCCTCATCCGAGCGCCACTCCCACTCCAGAGGAGTGGAGTGGGAGTGGCTTTCCCCAATGCCATGGGGACGGCCATCCCAGATCCAAACAGGTTCCTGGAGGCCAGCGGTGGACGTTCCCGCCCATAGTCCATAGAACCACGCGGAGTCGAGCGAAAAGCAAGAGAAAGGCAAAACTAGCTGCAGCTGGGGGCGGCAGGTCAGGTCAGAGGCCGGCCGACGCAGAGCCGTCCGCGAGCGGGTCAGGTCATTCGACCCAATCGGGTCATCGCAATGACTTGCTCTTGCGCTCATCCGACACGTTCACCTTGCACTTAGTGTATCCCGCGGATTGTTCCAACAACTGCACCATTCGGTACAATCACGTGGAAGCTAGCCAAACAGACTTCACAGAGGAGGATGGTGGAAAGTCCATTTTTCGTTGTGTGGATGGCACCGACTGCGTATGCCCCGTATCTGACCAAGCAGTTGCGTTTCCAGTCGCTGCGCTCGACTTCGACTCGTTTGAGAGAATGCACCACATAAAGACCCGGAACTGCAGGATCTGTCGTCCGGGTTTGGGTCTGGCGCGAGCCGCCATCACCGGGCGGATGCGGCTCATATACGAGCAGTCGAGCACCGTCGAACCGGAGCAGGTGGTTTTCCGAATTTGGGAGCACGAGGGCGGGCGGACGGCGGAACCTGCGGACAAACAGCCTCCCGCCACAAACACCCTCGTCACCGTTGAGCGTACCAGCGACAGAGTGCTCAAGCCAGCCGAGTACGAGGCGCTCTTCAGCGTCCTGATCGACCTGCGCCGCGTACAGTCTGTGCATGTTTTTTCCTGGATGGTCTGGACCAGCAACGACTACTTCGACATCAGAGAGATGGTAGACGATCTCAAAGACGCAGGCCTGCTGGCGCTGGACAGGGATGGCAAGCTTCGTGCCAGCGGATCGTGCCGCTGTGACGGCGGACTTCGAGCCACTGCAGCGGACGTCTATCCTGAACTCAATATGTTGAACCTTCACACCCTGGAAAGGACGTCTAAGAAGTTTGCAAAAGGAGAAACGAAAAAGAAGCGGATTCAAGGCCTGTTCGGTATGATGGACGACGTTGTCGCTGGAAAGCACGCCGATGTCGACTGGGAGTCGTTGCTGAAGTACAATGACCCAAGTTCTGAAGAGGCATACCTAGATATACCGAAGTCACGGACCCAGCACGAAATGCTCACCGATTATGGGAGACGAAGCGAGCCGGGTACTTTACTGAATAAATTTCTCCAAGGGTTGTACGAAGTCAGTGACCTCAACGTGACAGCTGTGTGTTGCGCATGGAAGCTGCGCAAATCCCTGGGAGACGTTGTTCGAGATCGTGCACGAGCTCACAGGTCGGCGCTGCGGAGGTCCACAACTACCGACCAGCCAGTGAGAGAAAATTCGCCTCTGGACGATGCTGTGCGGGGGAACAACGTTTACGTTTCCCTGAGAGACATAGTCCCCAGCCGCACAGGTGCAACAAACCCCTCAACGGCAGCGCCCAAGAGTTCGGCGGCAAGTCACGCCCAGCAAGAAGGCACCAGCTCCGAGTCCAGCGCCATAGTACGGGACGACTCGGACGTGAAGGCTCTGGCGGCCGCGGGCAAAGCAGAGTGGCACGTCTCGAAAGGCCCCACCACCAACTCGCCGGCCCGCAGCCCGACGCCGCCGGAAGATGAGCGGGCGCTGGCGACCACGCTACAGCAGTATCTGACGAGCTCTTCACTGTCGCGCGTATCGTCCCTGGACAGCGGCTGTCCGGCGGCGGAGGGCGGCTCGCAAGGCGACAGGTCGGCGGCGGCCAGCTCGGACACGCCGCCCTCCTCCCACTCGGGCCTGACGTCGCCCAGCGGACACGAACGGCCGGCGGGCAGCGATGAGGCGCGTGGATCGGACTCGGACGCCACCGGGGCCGACTCAGAGCCCCCGCCCGAGGCGGAGACGCCGCCCGACCGGCAGCACCCGCATGACTCAAAGGCCTCTTCAGACTTGGGCGTCTTGACGACTGACTCGGACATGAATGGCGTTGGTCTGAGTCAGACCAAAGGGCAGGGCGACAGCACCGCCGCGGACTATGTCAGCGAGGGGCGGCACGAGCAGGAGGCCATGCCACAGCGACGCCCGGAACATGAGGACGCTCCCCATCAAGATGAAGATGTTCTTTCTGACAGCTCCACCCTCAGAGGTAGCGCATCTTCGGTATCAAAAGATTCCAGACGAAGATCATCATCTGGGGATTTTTCCGAAGCAAGCGACCTCGATGACTCGGGATCAGCGTTCTCGAAGTCTTTCAGCCCATCAAAGGGACAAGGGCACGTTGGAAGAGAGTCGCAAGATGAAGTGAGATCACCGGGCGAGCGCATTCGGCCGCTCATCATTCCTGAAGAGGAAAATAGCTCTGAGGCGGAAGCGCCATCCAACTTGCGCGATGACGGACGGAAAACTGTTCCGGAACAAATGTCAGGTCATGAAGCACGGCCAGGGCACGCGGAGTGCACAGCCGGAGACACGACAAAAGACGTTCAGGGAAAAAGACTGATCCCACCTTCCAGCCGGCCGTCCACCGGAGGCACTAGCAAGGACGCGGCTGGTGTAAAAAGTGAACCGCAAAATATGAAAACAGGAGAAAGCGACAAAATGGAAGCCGCAGCTAGCCAGGCCAGAGATGACGCGGAACGTCCGCCTGCGATAGATGTCGATGAGACAGCCGACACCATCAAAACCCTTGTAGAAGCATGCATGGCCGGTAACCATGACGCACTGTCCCAGTACCTTGAACAGGCTAAAATGGAAATGTCAGGTCAGCGCTCGTTAGCAATTATCGGTCACCAGACCTTGCTCGAAGAACGGACATACGTACGGTGCTACCGATATGCAATAAATTTGACCACCGATTATTCCACTCAGAACTCCGGGGGCGACGCTTGGCTGACAGGAGCGGAGACCGGCGAGGACAGTTTCGGAGCGAGCCGGACGGAGCTCACATCCGCTTCAGTCAAGGATTTCGCAACTGTTCGGGCAACGTCAGGCGACGTCTTCATGGCTGTGGATCTCTGCTCTGAAGGTGTCCCTGCCATCCCTGAAACCCCTGAAGTCAGCAAGGATGAGGACTTGCAAAGCAATGTAGCGGCCGCGACTGCCGAGGGCGGAAGTCTGTGGCCTTCTGAGGACAGTCCAAATGAATACTCCGAGGAAGACACAACACATTATTTTGGACTGAATTCCATCATTCAAAGGCAGCAGATAAAGCGCACCAGGCAAGCCCGCTTTCTCTGCAGACAACTGATCAACCAGCCAGGCCAGTACATAAATTGCATGTGCATGTTTCAAATTCAGCAGGAGCACACTCATCGTCTGCGTTCCTTGTTAGATGAGATGTTGAAAAAAGGGCGCTTCTTTGCATTTCTTGAGCACCAAGACAACGCCATTGGCCATGTCTGCAAGAACAGCGTCATGGCTACCGTTTGGGAAGCTCGAAAAGCAAGAGAAGAACGGATCGAGCATCTGCAGGATTACATGATTGTGCTAGGCTTAAATCAGAATCCATCCGTTCATTCCAGGTTCTTTTGCACGCCGGGAAAGCACGAGAACGTCACAGGAGCAAAGACATCCCGGACAGATGGGACAGAATCGGCGTCAGAGAGGCAACTCGCTGAGATAACGCCTGAGAAATGTTCTTTGCGAGTGTGCAAGCACCATCTGAAACAAATCGCATCACCGAAATGCTTCTTTGACGTGACACGTCGTGACCCGGTGACTCACATGAGTTTGCACGAGGAACTTCTGAGTAAAGCGCTACGCACGAGCGGGCAGACGCCGTATGAGATGTTCACATCGGTTTACATTACGCAGAAGCTCCTCCGGACCCTGTGCGAGGCTTGCAACCGGTACCTCAGAGGTGGCAAACGCCGCGACCAACCCTGCAGGAAGATCAGCGAGGGTGAAATGCGTCTCTTCATCCTGCAGATGGTGTATCTGGCGTCTCGCCATAGCGTCCACAAGCGCTGGGACCGCGCGCCACGAGGGCGCCGCTGCAGCCGCACACCAGTCACGCCACCAGTCGCCGAGGAACCACATGAGACGGCGGACACTGGGGATCCGGAGAGGTCCCTGTCCACCGATCAGCCAAGCCGACCGCGCGAAGACTGTACCAACGAGGACCTAGCGCAGGGAAACGCAACTGAGGACCCAGACCAGTCTGCCCCCGCTGCAGGCTCGGGCCCGCAGCGTGGCTCGCCGGAGCCGACGAAGCGCGGAGCGAACGGCGGAGACGGCCCCGCCAGCCGGGGCCGGGCGAACCCCGCGCGGCTGCGCCGCTGCATGACCCGCACGCGCTTCGGGGAGATCGCCGACAGCTGGTGTGCGTTTGACTTCTGCGAGCAGCCGCAAGACGTCAGCCGCCTCGAGGCGCTGCGGGAGGCGATCGACGTTCTGATGGGGAGCGCGCCGGTGGCTGCTCGGCCTGCCCTGCTGGCGGCGGCGACGCGGCCCGTGCGCTGCCGGTGGGACCGGCACCGGCTCGCTGCCGTCTCTCTCGTCATGGACGGGAAGCGGTACGTGCACGACGTGGTCGTCAGCGCGTCGTTAGGACCGTTTATGGCCCTCCGCGCTGGCCAGGACGTGCTCGAGAACGCCAAACGCCGCACCGCTCGCACTGGCAAGGCTGGCGGAAGCAAGGACGGAGGGGCCATGAAGCGCATCTACTACATCGACGGCATGACCATCGAAGAGGCGAAGACGTGGACGAAAGACGGGTTGCACTGCATGACGCCGATCCGCCCGGACGACGAGCTGAGCCGCTTGTTCTCCGACATGAGCTTCGAGCACGCGCAGTACGTGTCACCGGACGGCAGCGAACACGGCCTGGCCTTTGGCCGCCGGGAGAAGAGCAGCTTCTTCCTGCGCCACGGCGCACCGACCGGCCGCCGCCTCATCATGTCCAGCGTGCACGCGCTGGATGCGGACGGCTGCCGCGATGCGGTGCGCCACGTGGAGGAGACGCACCGGGCGGTGCGGGACGCCGCTCGGCCCATCGAAACCCGCCTGAACTGCGACAGCCACCCGCGGCTCAGGTAAGTCGCGTGCAGAGCAGCGGCAGACATCCGCAGCTCAGCTGAAATGCAAACCACTGAGGTCAGCTGGGAGAGCCCGCTTGTTCCACCCGGTTCAGGAACGTTATCGGGCTGATTTTGTGGCGATGCAGGCGGCAAAATGTTGGCTGGGAAGCCAAATGATGCAACACGTTCTGAATGCAGATGCGCCCGCATACGGAGCTCTGTACTCACCGTGATTTATGTATTATTCATTGTCAAATGCTGTTCTGGCAGCCAAATTTACGTTGAAGTATTCGGCTAACAGTCACAATGTTATGACGTTCCCTTTTCACTACACCAAACACTCACACACGAGGCCACGCCTCGTTTCGCGCGTTACAAGTCATCATCCCACCATGAACGTTATTGCAACCAGCTCCTACCACAGTGGGTCTCCCCGAAGCGCGTCGGAACGAGCCGCGTTCTGCCCAGCCGGAACGACGCGCGTGACCGGGGCCATTGCGAACGCTGCCGCGCCGGCGGCCTGCCGCCAGCGTTTCTACGTGATTTATGGCGGCCCACGCGGCTCTCCGTTTACTACGCTTTCTTCGGGCGAGCTGACGCCGTGGGAGCGGCGCCGGCGTGATCTCCAGCTCTCGAGGCTGTCGTGACACGCGCAGAAGGCTGGGACAGCTGGCCGGCCGGCTGCGGCGCGGCTGCGCCCGGCTGTCACACGAACCGGCTGTCCTGAGTCAGCCGAACCAACGGGGCATCGCAGTAGTTGTTCACCCTGCCCCTGTTCCCATGTTTGCTGTGTGGTGTGGAGGATGATCACTTGAAATGAACGTGCACTCAAAGCCCTGATGCTCCTCATGTATTTCGCGAGACTTGCGTTTGGATTGCCGTAGATACTACAAATGTGTTATATTGGTGATCCTTCTTCGTAGCTTACGCGGACGTAAATAAACGCAAATGGTGGCGAACAACGCGTCGGGCACGAGTCTCGAGTGCAGTCCGTGGCAAAGCAACTGCGGAGCACGCTGACAGGCCCGACCTGGGCATTCACCGGTTCCCTGTCGGCAGGTACTACCACAAGATCTTCCTGCGCGCCCTGTCGGCCGCCATGCAAAACGTGTTCGTGGCGCAGGGGCTGGCGAGCGGCCGCCGTTTCGACGAATCGCCCGAGGCGCTGGACGCATTCTGCCTCGCTCAGTTCGAGTCCCTACTGGAGGACCTGGTGGACCTTCTGGAGAAAGCGCCGCGCGAGAACACGCGGCGGGTCGGCCCCGGCGTGCCCTGGATCGGCGAGGACTACCAGCTGATCATTCGCCGCACCCAGCTGACGCACGACATGCTGCGGGATGACGAGGAGCGGGACGACTAGGGGGAGGTCGGTCTACGGTCCGGCGGAGGGCCCTGCCTCAGCGCGAGCTTGGCCGGGTCACGGTGGTGGTCGACATCACGTCACGTCTCGCCACGTCACGTCACGGGTCGGGTCGACATCCCGTCAGATGTGTCTACGATCAAACCGTTTGAACAGCGTGCTGCGAACGGACCGACTGCCCGTGACCGCTACTGACAGCCTGATCATCAACACCAGAGCTGACCAAGCGGCCGTCGTAAGCATATGAAATCTGAATGCGTTGAATACTGTGAGCTATTGGCCGCTCCCCAGAGCTGTCTGACAGTCCGGAGCGCCTTGCGGCGGTGCTGAAATGATGCGTGCTGTCTGCCGACTTGTTCCGCTCACTGGAAGGTATACAGGATGTCGGTTCCCATCGTTCGGCGCTTCGGCCATGTTTTATGCTGTTGCATACTTCTTTTATGGACTGACGTAACACCATTTAATGTCATGCGTACCGTGCATATTTTACATACGATACTGCTGTATCCCACAATACACCGTTGTAACCACTGCATGCGTGGTTTGTTCACGTCTATGGAACTGTGTCAACTGGTCATTGGCTAATCAGTTTATGCCGGAGGGCCTCATTTTACTACTTGGCTGCACGAAAAAAACGCCACGTGCCCGGGGCCTGGGGGTGGAGGTGGGTGGGTGGGGAAGGGGGAGGACGATACGGGGCCCGATGTCGGTGCTGCTTACAGCTGTGGTTTAGGGTCGGTGTAACTCAGCCGGTAAGCCGCTTAGTCGTCCGCTTAGCGGCTGTCTGCTGAGTCGGGGGTCGGGTTCAAACGCGGCGCGGGGCGTAAGTGTTTCATCCTTGCCTGGCAATAACCTGCATGACAGCTTGCGACGATGCGTGCTCTGTTAAGCTAATCAGGTCACTATCCCTCTCCCACAAACTTTCTGTGCGCACAATGCAGCTTACCGTAACCAATACGGCTGTGGCGAAACTGCGCTGTTGGCGGGAAGTCGTCGCCGGTGGCTACAGCACTACGGGCGGCGCTTGTGTCTGCAGGCCACTTCAAGCTGCGCTAGCAGTCGCGGCGCCGCTTCGTAAGCCTGGAGGCAGCGCAGGGCTCTCGCCCACGGGCCTCAGGTCCGTCCAGTCACGGTCCACTACACCGCTCCCCCTCCCCCTCCCACACACACACACCTACGCGTGCTCCATTGTCTCCCGCCGGGACGGCCGGGTTCAGACGTGACCTAGGCCCCTCGTGCCGCACGCGTCCCGTCCCGGCCGGTCACGTGGCACGCGGTCAGTCACGTCATGTCGAAGCACGATCGTGGCGGCAGAGCGGCCTTGAACCAGTTGGCGTGCTCGGCGTGATTGATGCGAGCCGCGGCAGAGCCTTTGGGGAGAGCCCCTCTCCCTAGACGGATCGGTGCGGCGTTCCCGGCGCGTCTCGCTGCACTGCGCCAGAGGTCGCACGACGGCTGGGAACGGGCGATGGGGCCCCTGCATGACTCCTTGCATGGCCGTATGGCTGTGGCTATCAGGACGGATGTAGTCTACCACGGACCGCGGGAGAAGGGTTCAGGGAAATCACGCGCCCGTCACATTCTGGCGTTAGTGTGGTTTTACGTTTGGCTCTTCACGTGAGGTAAGTGCGACTCGTGCGGACTGGCATCGGACGCCTCAGCGACGAGGCCGTGCTAAAGGGCGCGGGGGTCAGACGTCCCCGGCCGCGTCCGTGAATCCGTAAACGCTGTGCACGGATGATTCTCTCAGCCTTGTTGTGGCGAGTGGGCTACATTACGACTGGCCTGTGGGACCGCATGGAAATGTGGTCGCACGCCGGGCAGTTGTCTGCATTGTCACATCGTATTGTCTTCGAGGTACTGCTGGTACTTCGCGACGTATCTCGTGACCACATGGCTACAGCTCATGATCGCCGCTGCACGCCAGCGACCGCACCAGCGGGCACCTCTCCGAGATCCACAGTGCACGATTGCCGGCTCCACGCGCCTCCCGCCCGGCGCCCCGCCGCGGGGGCGCCGGCGGTTCCCGCGTGATCACGACCGGGCGGCCCGGCGGCCTGCGTGGCGCGGCGGACTCCCGTGACGCGCGGCGTGACGCGTGACGCCGCCCGACCCGCGGGGTGACACCTACCCCGGTCGGCGTGCGCCGAGGCCCCTGACGAGCCGCGAGCGGGCGGTTTCTGCGGCTCGTCTCCGCGCGCCGGTCGCACGCGGAGCGCGTTACGTCAGAGGCCATCGGTCTGGTAACGCAACGCAGGACCCCGGCTCACGAGAAAAAGGCCGACAGACGTGCTGTCGATATCGTGCGAGGCGTGCGCGCAACCAAGCCACGCACGAGGCTGTGTAACACTTGGCCATCTCGCGCGGTGAGGTAGTGCTGGTAAGACTCCAATGAAAAATCCGAACGGTAGTACGCTCTGTGACTGCTTGTTACGAAACGCAAAAAGCGGCGCAGCGCCAATTTGCATCACGCCTGATCCCTGCAGCGCATGCCATTCTAATGGGGCAGGCACACACACTGGCAGTCCTTCCACGATAACAAAACTGGATTATACCAGCTTAAGGGTGCAGGAGGGCCGTCTCACTGTCATAAACTGCAGCCGCGCATGCCATTCCTGCCAGGTGACGTCACGGGCATCGGCCGTCACAGGTTTGGAGCATGGATCGACAGCCAGCCATCGTGTTGTATCACACACGGTCTCTTCCCGGCCTCATCACGTGTGATGGACGGTTGGCGCATAGCAGCATTCCTAGATCTCCGCATTACTAATGCCGTCGACAGTGACGCGGCATCTACATAAAATGCGCCTGTCTGCACCGAGGGAAGAGAGGGATGGAACAACAGAACGTCAAGTGTTGTAGCCTACAGACACGTGTTTTAGCTCGACCACCGTCCTTTACCAGCTTCCTCGCGGCGCCAGTTTTCAATGACCATCTCCGCGGCTCGCAGTCGGTCAAGAAGCAGCCGGCAAATGACAGTCGTTTAATCGTTTTGCGTGCCACGAGATATTCGTAAATGACCTGTGAGTGTCAGGTAGACGCATGAACGAACTTAGCTTTAAACCAGAGTAACTTTTCTGGTGTCCGGGTCTCCGGAGCACGCTTTAGCAGAAACTCTGGGACTAAGCATTATGACTTTCCTTGACCAAGATTCGATCAAAATCCCACAAAGGATTAACTTAAGCCTATTCGATGATGACTTCAGTCATAACATTAGAAAGCTCTGTTCTGTAGTTTGGTAGCGTGCCACACACAATAACCTGTTCTTTCGAAGTCCCTCTGCGCACATTTCTGCGCAGCTGTACACCGGCTCAAGCAGCTCGCCGATGGTCTGCGGCCGGCAAACGGTCCCCACTCGGTTAGCACTCACATGTCACCGGCGGCGTCTGCGATGCTCCTCATCCCCTGGCCACGTCCCACTCTGGAGCTGCCGCGGGCGCTGCTAGCATCGCGCGGTCAGCGCTGGAGGGCCGGCGGCGCGCGCGACACCCGCCTGCACCACCGTCTGCCGCACGGCTGCCCGGCCGGGCGGCCCAGCTCCGCCACGGGCGCTTCGTCCGCCACTTTCTCCGCGCGCCGCGCAGCGCGAGAGTGATCCACTGCAGGGTCGCAGGCGAGCTGACACGGCCGCCGGCGCTGGGACCCTTTGGAAGGGGTCAGATACCCATGGGGCTGGACCTCTTGGAAGGGGTCAGAGGAAGCTGGGGCTGGGACCTCTCGGAAGGGGTCCTGTAGGTCGCGGGCACCGACACGCACTGTGGGTGGGATCCCCTTGGAGGATTCCGACGGATCGCTTTGAGGGGAGGTTCCGGATCGGTTTCCGCAGGTGTTCTGAGGGTATCCCTTGAGGGTTTGAGTTGCGACGGGCCGTGGTATGTGACCCCAGGAAATCCGCCCAAGAAGCATGTCCCTCAGACAAGGGCGCGCGGTGGATGATTGCCTCGTGTGTGTTGGGAAAGGGGGAGGGAGTAGACAGATAGCCAGCTCACGACTGAACCGTGACCGCTGATCATGGTGTGATGGACCACCATAAGACGCTGCAGCATGCGACAGCGCGGCCTACCGTGCACCAGCTCCGATGACTTTCTTTTACGGGAAGTAATGGTGTTTATGACAGAGCCATTAATTGGTTATGCCACTAGTTGCTCACCTAAATCTCTACTGACGGCATAATGGTGTTATTACATGTCGATGGCCGTAACTGTTATGGCCGTTGCTTGCGCTAACTCTCACATAATTTGAGGTTTTGTGATAACCGTATTTGTTGCTTGGTACGCTGTTGATATCTTCAGCTGCTTCTGAACAGCCGGGCAGAGCGGAAACGGTTTTCGCTACGTTCCAGTGGCAGCTCCTTCAACAGGTGTAAGCTGCAGACTGAATTGCAAGTTTTAGCTTTTGACCCAGCAGCTGGTGCAATAGTGTTTTCCTCTAGCTGAGATAGAAGATTTGACAAAAACTAAAGGCAAGAATGTGTTTTGAAATTATTAGAAGTTTTGGCACAAAGCCAGTCTCGGGACGTGACAAATCTGTTGTTTTGAAACTGCGAGGCTGATTTTGCAAGGTAAAGCAGACACCTTGCTCACCAGATGGGTGTCAGTACCATTTTTATTTTCATCTGTGTTAACGTTCTTCTTCCAAACGAGTTCCATGATCTTCTTATTACGTTCAGTTTAAATTGTTATGAATGATCAATGCCGCTGATGTTAAAGACATCTGCATCTTATAGAGAAAACATAAAATGTTCGAACAAAGTGCGTGCTATCAAAACCCGAGCTGTTAAAATCTCGCGCATAATCGTACCACTGTTTTTGACCCAAGACGCGAGTTATCGGCACACACGCAAGTCGGAAAAGCATTATTAGTCTAAATGGCTCAACGATGGTCAAACCGCTGAAAACGGTTTTCGAAACGCCGCTGTCATTTGATCAGATTTGATGATATTCACAAAAACCTGCTGGCAAAGCAGACCAAACGGGATTCGGGGCATTCTGTGTTTTGGACGAGAGCTTTTTCGGCCAGCGATGGCCATTTCAGGGCTGTGGATCGCAGAGAGGGGAGCGGTGGGCGAAGACTGTGATCATCGTGAGAGACCTGCGCGACCGAGACATCCCACAAGGAGCCCCTTCTCGGAGTGCGTGCGAGCGCTCGGTTGAGCCTCACCAGTAGGGCTCTCGAGCCCTCCTGAGACTGGCCTTCGTAGCCTTCCCGGAGAGGCAAAGCGTTGTAAAAGCTCAGGACGACGCAATGTGTGAGGAAAGAGGGGCGAGCACCAAACGGTGTCGCGTCTAGATGCTCTGTCTTTGTCCAGGCCTGCGTGCTCCACGGCTTCCGGCTCTTCCGTGACTGTCGTGACACGGGCCGCTGCCGTCGCCACACAGCCCGGGCCGCACCGTGATCGTTTTCTCCCGGCGGCGCCGGTCGCGCCACCTGATTCGCGCGGCCCGGCTGCAGAACGAGAGTGAAACGGCGGCCGATCGGCGAGGTCAGGGGTCAGGTGCATGAGCACGCCCCCGGGCGGGCGCCGGAGCGATTTCACCGGCGCCGCCCGGCCCGCACAGGGGCGGGCGGCGCGAGCAGGGGCGGCACCGCCTACCCTCGGCTCCCCCGGGAGGTAATTGGAAATGTTCGTTGGTTTACGGTGACGCAACGCCGCCGTCCTATGATAAAACATCATGAAGTGGGAATGCGGCAGCGGGGAGAGTTCCTGATGATTACAAGTGCATGTCTCTCCGCCTTCCAAATCGATCTCCGATGGATTCCTGATGAAGTGGAATGTGTTGGCACGTTTCTGCAGTCAGCTGATATCGGTCGGGTCAGGGCCATTAAGTACCCTTCTCCCCGGCCTAGGAGGCGCTAGTGACCCGCCGCCTCCAGCGTGGTTATTTCCCTGCAAGAGCTATGATGATTCACCACCCACTCGTCAGCAGCCGACCCTCCACCTGAAGGCCGGGTGCTTCGACACACGTTTGCCGGCTCCGGACGAGGCGCCGGCGCTCGTGCACAGACACACGTGAGATTTATGGGGGGGGGGGGAGTCATGCGGTTCTGTTACTTTCGTGAGTGGACATTGAACGGGGGGGGGGGGAGTGGGGGGCCGATTATAGTTCAGGATGCGGGACCACAGCCGCCAGCCATTTCCACGGCCGAACTGCTACGAAACATGTCGGAAAACGTTTGGCTCCTCTACCACCATTGTTCACCATCCTACTATAAGAAGGGAGACCCCTTCTCAGGCCAGGGTCCGGGTTCTCGTAAGGTCTGAGGATAGTGATCCAGAGCCAGCTCAGCCGTTCCTTCCGGGAGTGCCACACGTCGCTCAGAGACAACCTTTCTTGACAGAAGTCGCTGAAACCCAACGTGAAGCAACGAGACTCCCTCGCATGTCTCTCGCATGTCCCTCACGTGTTCTCGCACGTCTCTCGCTTCTGCTACTTTTGGCCCTCAGCTATTGGATTTTGGAGAACGATTCCCTTCGACCACTGATACCACCGCACTAAGGTTTTTCGGAGTCATTTTAGTTCTACCAATTCATCAATACAAATAGCCAGGCAGATGCGCGACACCGAAGTCGCGACCCACTCTCCCCGCGTCACAGCAGCGCACAAAACTAAGTCAAGCATCTATACGGGGAGCTCGAGCCCGTAGCATCACTTCTTCCCCGGATGTGGAACACACAGGCCATCACCGGCGACGACAAATGTATTGGGCACAAATACTGGAACAATCGACCACCGAGGAGTCGCGGCCGGCCGCGGCCGATCCAGTGACGTCACAGAGCAGGCGGCTGCCGGCAGGGTCGGCGGCTAGGTGAGCGTGTCCTCGCTGCGGATGTACTGTCCGATGTCGGCCTGGTGGAAGACGACGATGGCCGTCGGGTCGGCGTGCCGGCACTCGGCCGTCGACTTGGCCCCCGCGCCGAAGCCCTGCCCAGACAGCGGCGGAGGCGTCAGGTGGCCGGCCGCGGGCCCGGGAGCAGCGCACGGTCAGGCGGCCGCCAGCCGTCAGTTTGGAAGCAGGGGAAGTCGGAGACGAGTCGTGGATCAGGCAGCAGGGGACGAGCCAGAGATGGTGGGCCATGGATCAGGGAGCAGGGGACGAGCCAGGGATGGTGGACTATGGACCAGCGAGCGTGCATCGAGTCATGAACGACGTCTCGTAGATCAAGGAGCGTGGGATGAGGCACAGAAAGCGTGTCAGGAATGGAGGACTAGCGGCCGAGACAGACACTGACAATCACGTATTCGACACTGACAGTCACGTATTCAACACTGAAGCATCGTAAAAGAAGCATCGCGCCCGGACAGATGTCACGAATCGCGGGTCAGGGGCTATGAGTCACCGATCGGAGCCGAGGGCCAGTCAGATGCGGGGAGGTACAGGACCGACGGCGTTGGCGCTGACCGGTTTGGACAGACAGTGACGGGGCGGAAGGGAACGGCCGGACTACCAGACTCGGTATCAGGACAATCATCACCGAGGGCGCGGTGAGCGCATGGGTGAAATGTGAAATTGTGGATAACCAGTAAGGATCTGACATGATGTATGCTGGGGGTGGAACGACGAAACACTGCTGAAAGCAGACAACGCAGGGACACAAATCATGGTCAAAAAGGCCAAGGAGAACAACACGAAGGAAACCATATATGGATCGCACAGTCCCCGTCGGGATACGGGAACCGAACCCCGCGGAGCTCCTGATAGGGTTGCCAGTTGTGGGATTAGAGGGACAAACTAAACCAATTTGTGTAATACCGGTTGATGTAGCATGCACGGAGTCACGGCGCAGTACTGTACTCAAATGTCAACACCGCGGGGACATTTCATAGCGTCAGCACAGGAGAACAGGCTCGTCCGTAGCGGATGGGGGCCGAGTTCCAGACGGCCCCCGGCGGCCGGCAGTAACATTTACGTCGCGAGGAGTACGGAGCTGTCTGTAATCCCGCCACGAGGCTGGTTAATGAAGGAAGCAGTAACTACGCCACCGACATCAGAACGAAATGTTCTACGTAGCGAGCTAAGCTCCTCGGCAGCCGTCGTTTCAGTGCGAGGGCGAGGGCAGGGTGATGCCCGCATATAGGTCAAGGTTAATACGAGGAAAAGCGGGTTCGTAAAAATGCTGTGAAACACTGACCGCCGCGAAACCACTCAGAAGCGGGAGATACTTCAACGCGTCGGCCGTATAGCATGTGCCAGTTCTGTAGCTTCTGACAGGTAAAGTTCGTGCAAGTCATCAACACGTGCGGAATGCACTGCCATTTCTGTTCCACCACACGTCATCGACGCTTAAGGAATTGCCGGTCACCCGTGGCCTTGGCACGATACCGACGCTGCAACAAACTCCCTCGTCAAATGCGGCGCCCGCGCGGCCAGACGACCGTCTGAGGACGAGTCTAAACAGGGCTCAAGCGGATGCATCCGTGACCCCGGGTCAGCTTCGTGTCAATGAAAAGGCGCTACGCCAATGGAGTCATTTCCTCCGGTGCGCTGCCAGCGACACAGGCATCCGGGAGGCTGGCGGCAGGCCACGGCTGCCGGGCGGACGGCGAGGCTTTCGCGGCCCGACCCGCGGGGCCCGCCGGCGCACAGTCACGAGCAGTGCGGTCACGAGCGGCGCGCCTCACGCCGCGGCGGAGGGCCGGGCGGGCCGCGCGGCCGCGCAGGCTCGCGTGACGCGCTCGCTCCGGACGCCGGCGCTCTGGTACGCGCCGGCTTGCGGGGATTTGTGGAGGGAGTGCTGGGGGATGGACTGCTCGTGTCGTGTTCTGAGAAAGGACGGGCGTGGACCCGCTCCGGCCAAATGTGCCGCAGAAGCCCCGTTCTTCTGGAGGACAATGTGACTCGAGGCAAACATACACTTCTGAAACGACACAGAAACCAGCGAGGCCGTTCGTGGCAATAAGTCATTCGTGGCCACCTTGGTGGCTGCAGTGGGGGCGGACTTTCCCAGCCCGACTCCAACATAAGACTAGCCGCTGAGCGGTGTTCCTGTCTCAGCAGACGCTACATGATCAATGGAAGTCATGACGACACGCGCACCTCATCCGCTCGTGAGAGCCACTTTCTCCCCGCGCGGACGCGCCGAGCACCGGGCAGATCGTCGGCGCACGTGGTGCCCATGCACGGCACACGCGTCCGATCTCTTCGGTGTGCGGTGGGAAAGTGATGTCCGGCTAATTAGGGTGATCGGCTCTCGTGCGGCCGCGCCGCCGCCAGGCCGTGCTGGCGGCCAGCGGAGACGGGCGTGTTGGGCCGCTACGAGTGCACGCGACCCACAGCTGGTGCCGGCCCGGCTGAGGCGGTGGCAGGCCTGTACGCGGGAGAGCCGTGCTTGACCCCAGGCTGACGCCATTTCCGCTGGATGTTGAGGTGGTCACCACAGCCTCGGCGCACTGGGCAAGGTCCATATCGACCAACCTGATTAAACGGGCTTTTAGCTGGAGCCACACAATTTAACTGATTCATAAGATCCCAAAACGCCCAGGATTTATCAGAGCCATCCAAACCACCCGATCCATGTACGGCCATATACAGCGCAATCCTCCTCACACACACCAATCAGACTCAACTGATCCCTGTGAGCCTGCTTGACAAACCTACCTCGAATCAAGCATATCTAAGTCAACCGGTGGGCATGGGCCCATCTGAATACTAATCATGATTAACCTAATTAGTCAGAATAATAATAAGCCCACCAGACAAAAGTAACTCCCAGACGAACGGCCAGAACAAACTGATCGACATCATATCGTGGGTGTGGTTCTCTGTCACACAAATCAGTTAAAGGGTCGTATACGTATCGGCCACGCCACGATACGAAGCGCGAGGAAGTTGGCTGAACAATAAGCGCTAACAAAGGCTGTGGTGACTGTAGCTCCACCTTCGGCTGGACGCGGGCGCAGCGGACCGCGAAGACAATACCATACTTTAGCAACACTCAACGCCTGAAATCGCGTGCGTACCGTCCAAAATGCCTGACATCGTGCGTGATTAAATACACCTCGCGTATTCAAGCACGTAAGTTCAGGTAGTCCCACGCACTGGTCGCCACACAACGCCGCGCCGGGTTCTGTAGCAAGCAGCAGTCCTCACACTGGTCGCCACACAACGCCACGCCAGGTTCTGTAGCAAGCAGCAGTCCTACACACTGGTCGCCCACACGATGCAACGCCGGGTTCTGTAGCAAGCAGCAGTCCTAGCACATGGTCGCACACGGATGACAGCCGGGTTCTGTAGCAAGCAGCAGTCCCTACACACTGGTCGCCACCACGACTTGCCACGCCACCAGGTTCTGTAGCAAGCAGCAGTCCTACACACTGGTCGCCACACACGCCACACCCGCAGGTTCTGTAGCAAGCATGCAGTCCTACACACTGGTCGCCACACAACGCCACGCCAGGTTCTGTAGCAAGCAGCAGTCCTACACACTGGTCGCCACACGATGCCACACCAGGTTCTGTAGCAAGCAGCAGTCCTACACACTGGTCGCCACACGATGCCACGCCAGGTTCTGTAGCAAGCTGCAGTCCTACACACTGGTCGCCACACGATGCCACACCGGGTTCTGTAGCAAGGCAGTCCTACACACTGGTCGCCACGACGCCACACCAGGTTCTGTAGCAAGCTGCAGTCCTACACACTGGTCGCCACACGATGCCACGCCGGGTTCTGTAGCAAGCTGCAGTCCTACACACTGGTCGCCACACAACGCCACGCCAGGTTCTGTAGCAAGCAGCAGTCCTACACACTGGTCGCCACACGATGCCACACCAGGTTCTGTAGCAAGCTGCAGTCCTACACACTGGTCGCCACACGATGCCACACCAGGTTCTGTAGCAAGCTGCAGTCCTACACACTGGTCGCCACACAACGCCACACCAGGTTCTGTAGCAAGCTGCAGTCCTACACACTGGTCGCCACACGATGCCACACCAGGTTCTGTAGCAAGCTGCAGTCCTACACACTGGTCGCCACACGATGCCACGCCGGGTTCTGTAGCAAGCTGCAGTCCTACACACTGGTCGCCACACAATGCCACGCCGGGTTCTGTAGCAAGCTGCAGTCCTACACACTGGTCGCCACACAACGCCACGCTAGGTTCTGTAGCAAGCAGCAGTCCTATGCACTAGTCGCAACATAACTAGCCAGCAGTAATCCACGTGCCAAATGATGTATTACGAGACAACCACCCCCAACCTGCACTCATACAATGCCTTAGACGCTTTGGCAAGTTCATCCAGCACCACACTGTATTTACTTTTGTATTCACTAAATTTTTCTTCCGTTCCAGGGCCGCCACCGGAATCCTGAGTGTGATTTCAGTCAACAAGCGTTGCCTCGACACTCGCTGATCACTGATGCTTAAGTTCAGCAAGAGCCGCCAATGTTAAGGTTTCGATATTACTACGAATCATTCACTAACATCGCAGCGGTGCCAAGCAAGCCATTCGCTGGAAGTCGTGGTTGCGGGCGTTTCAAAACTACGCCTGTCTCCGAAGCGATCGTCGCTGGGCATCAAGTTTACAGCTTTAATGGATTTGCGTTGGGTGCGGTTCGACATGTCCCACCACCTGCCATAACATTAATGGCGATGTCGAAACAAAACAACCAAAAAACCCACATCAGCCGCCATTGTCGCCACAGCCTCTCCGGAACATTTATCACCCGCCCACACAGCAGAAGACCAGCCGGCGGCCGGCCCACGTGTCGTGAACACGCTCCGAGCCGGCAGCCAGAGGGGATCACTGACGGGTTTCGCACCCGACAGCGGACGATGACTGCGCGGACACGGGCGGAGCTGTGTGACGTCAGGGGCTGTCTGGGACCCACCACGGCTGTGTGCTTCCACCAGCGGGACCTGAGCGGGTCAGCCCCGGCTGTGTGATCCCACCAGCGGGACCTGAGCGGGTCAGCCCCGGCTGTGTGATCCCACCAGCGGGACCTGAGCGGGTCAGCCCCGGCTGTGTGATACCACCAGCGGGACCTGAGCGGGTCAGCCCCGGCTGAGTGATCCCACCAGCGGGACCTGAGCGGGTCAGTACCGGCTGTGTGCTTCCACCAGCGAGACCTGAGCGGGTCAGCCCCGGCTGAGTGATCCCACCAGCGGGACCTGAGCGGGTCAGCACCGCCCCCAGCGGGCCTGCGAGCATGCGCCATTCTCCCGAAGGCGGAGGCGAATCTCTGGAGAACTGACAGGACAACTCGACTGCGGTCCGCAGCGATCCTGCGCTCCGCCACCGTTCAGTCCTCAGTTCAGACTGCACACCGGACCGCGGCTGGCCACTGAACACATGGAGAGCGCTACTGGCGAAGACCACGGCGTCTTCTCGAGGCAGATGGCATTGCACATTCTCGAGTGCAGATAACATGTGACGCACCGTCCCCGTGGTCCATTGCCCGGGTGGCGAACGCCTAACCTCCGGGGTGGCGCATTCCGTGGCTACGTACGCACATCACAAATTATTCGATCATAAGCAGCGTGCCATAGCGATGATAGGAATTTTTGGACACCTTATGTAAATAATGACAAATTAATGCATGAGTAGAAGCGATATGAGAATGCATTTGCACGTACTGAAAAATAACGAGAAAAATAAAACCACGCTCCGGACAATTTCCAATGCAGCCGCAAGGCAACGGATTCGTTCCTACAATGCAGCAGTTGCGACATGCACCCAGTGGGGTGTCCAGGGAGTCAATATGCGATTTGTGCTACCTGAATCTGGTTCATCGGCGGCCTCCGCGTGCAATTCGATGGCGCTCACCAGCTGCCCTTTAACCCCGAACCCAATCATTCGACCTGGCCGGCCCATTTGTTCAGCCCGTGGCGCTCAGATGCCGGGCTGACCCCAGCGCGCTCGCTGCTGATTGGTCCATTTTGGGGAACAGAAGGCCAACAGGCAGCGAATCCCAAGCCGAGGGTGTGATACCACGACAAATTATCGACATCCCTGCCAACCGTGTGACCGAATATTGAAACCCTGCTGGGTACGGTGTTCGTGCGTGAAAACGAAAAACGGATCAATAGGTGTCGCCACAAACAGCCCATAGATGGCGCCACAGCTTCTATTGCGTACTGAAAGGCCATGTAAACCGCTACGCTGCGGTCCCGAAAGCGTGAGAAGCACAAGGTTCGGACCGAGAGATGACGAAATCCCTTAGCGCGTTCAATGCACGGTACAAGCGTGGCGGGTATCACCCGTGACACGTGCCATTTCAAGACTTCAATCACAAACCAACAGGTGTTCTCGTGCGGCAATATGTGCCAAGGAATGGATCAAAGTAGCTGGCCAAAACACCTTTTAATTCTGGGCTCTACCTTGGTCTTTGTTCGAGTTCGGATCTTGATCATCTGGTTATTAAGGCAAGTACAAAGCGTAGATTATAAATTATGTCAAAGCCTGTAATTTCACTTCAATCAAACGCTAAGAACCGAAATTACAATGTAAGCCGTTTCTCGTTTCAAAACAGTGGACCACACCATGACGTCTACCGTGCTTAATTTACGAAGCCGAAGGCGTCAGCTTTAAAAAAAAGGCCAAGACGCCACACTATGCTTAAACTAGCCACTTGGTGATAGAAATTACTCTACATTCCTTATCGCGATTTCTTCAACTTCGGGCGCTTAAAACTAACACTCCTGTCTAAGATCACGTCCGTAATTGTAAACGCGTACGGATATACACCGCACCATGCGTTACTCGACTGATGGTGAACAACGCTCGAAAAAAACAAAACAAAAGAGTAATGCAACCGGGGTTACGAAGCGAAACCCTCCTTTCGCCTTTTGGAACAAGAACGAGGGTTTCTGACTTTAAGAAATACAAATTTCTAACGTGTCACCTTATCATAAGAAATACACGTCAGTGTTGGTGTGTTGCTTAGAGCGGTGTACCACGCATTTCCATACAGTTTCAGTCCCACATTGCGTCCGTCTAGGAGCCCGAACAAGTCTGCACCTCACATCGTCCCTCTCCGCGCCTAGTGCAACGCTGGCGGCATTCGCGTAGCACGTCCTATATTTGATGAGTGTTCGACCAGGCGGCATTACGTAAGCTTCACAGAGTCTCTGCAGCGGCAGCAGCCTCCTTCGCACCGTCCCCACCCTCACGCCGCTGTATCCTGGGGCGCCGCAGCCCCGCGCGGCCCGTCCACTCACCAGCGGCACGTCCTTCATGTTGTACACCACCACGCCCTGGTACTTGCTCGTGTTCTCCGTGATGCGGGCCAGGCCGGACTTGAGCACGTGGTGGCCGTATAGGAACTGCTGCTCAGCCGAGGCCTTTAGCCAGACCTTGTGCTGTTCACATGGAGAGGCGTGTCAAGCGGACGCACCGCGTGCGAGGCGCATACACTACGGCACTAGACAGGCCCCCGCAGCCAACACACGCACGCACGCTCGTACGCACGCACGCTCGCACGCTCGCTCGCTCGCACGCACGCACGCACGCACGCACGCACGCACGCACGCACGCATGCATGCATGCACGCACGCTCGCTTGCACGCACGCACGCACGCACGCACGCCCATTGGAATGTCTGCGTGTGCACGCCGGTATCTGTCAACAGCGTGCTTCAATGGGGCCACATGACATCAGGAGGCACACTTTGTGCACGTTAAGCATTGCACCCACTCTAGCCGACACTGAACACGGGCCCATTCAACAGCAGCGGGTCACACAGAGTGCGCAGGTCCTATCCGACGGGCGAGCGAGCGTCCACCGATCGGGACGGTGGGACCGGCTGGTGCTACAACGCGCCACGCGCGCGCGCTTTCACCGCGCTCCTCACCTGAGCGTACGGCGCCAGAAACTCGAGCGCCGTCACGTGCAGGTGGAACTTGCCACTCTTGGTGAACTTGCCGAAGCAGGTGCCGATGGAGATGAGCGCGTGGCGCGGGAAGCTGAGCGCGTGCCGCATCAGCGTCTCGGACATGTAGTACACGCGGTCCTTGTGCAGGCGGAAGCAGTAGAGGCCATCTGGCCGCTCCAGGAGCAGCCGAATGTTCTCACCAATGCTGGGGAGGCGCGGCTCACAGCGTCAGTGAGGCGAAGTTAGGGTATGTGGTGGTACTACATGCTGGTGATGCAACTGGGGTGGGAATGGTATCTGGGAAAGAGCATGTTTTCTTGGTGTAGCTATGATGAATGTGCTTGATTGCTTGAGATGGTATGGACCCAAAATAAGTGTGCAGCACCAAAGCTAAAAACCTTACAGGCTGTGAAAACTTGCATATCTGTTCCAACTGGCCTGAACCATAAAATACATGCTGGCCAGAAGCTTGACATGGCTGGATAACACTGTCTGCTGAGCCCCAGAATCCTGTGGCTCAGTGGACAGTGTTATCCATACCTGCTCCATACCTGATCCCTGTGACCTGGGATCAGGTATGGTGACAAATGAATAGTTCTACCACAGAAGCATTGCATCCAACACACGTTTTTATATTATATGTAGTAGCCTAACAAGCCTACAAGACTTAAATGTTAACACATGTCCCTACAGTATATGTAGTGCTCTAACAAGTCTACAATAAATAAATTTTAGCCAAGTTTGTACTGAATCACACATTTCAAATTTGGGCCATTCACAACCCTGAAGTACAAAAACACCAACCTGCATCAAGTCAGTTCAAACACTATTCTGGACTGCCAAGATCTGCACCAGGCTTTAAGCAATATTCCTCAAACTTTTTGCAAGTCACAAAATTTAATGTTACCCCAAATTAATCACGAGGGGAACCAGAGATATCAGATCATCTTGAATTGAATTGGAGACATGAAAGCAGGGACTTGAAAATTTTGATGATTGTCATGGTGCCAGAAAACAATGGATTTGTTCATCCAAAATTACATATGCAATAGTGTGCATTCAACAAGTGACCAAAATGGACTACACTCATATTCAAGTACTGAAAATATTGGCACAGAGCTTCAATCTATCACTTCAAATTCTGAGGGCACAGCAAGGCTGCATGGTCAATGCTTGAACCGGCAAAAGCCTATCCAAAACATGACTGTTTTCCCACAATCTCCAAACTTCCTACATGGGTGAACAGCAGGTGACACACTATAGCCTCAGCACCTATGTGTGTGGTAAAGCAGTGATAACATTGCTGCCAACTTTCAGTCAGTGAGGGGGATGGCAGGAAGCATGTGCACCACATGGGCTTGGGTTTGGTCACACACATACATTGTGTGCTTATCACTGTTGCACATTTTCCTCCAAACTGTGCACACAAAATTGATAAATGACTAGTTGAAGGGAACTGGCACTAACAGTTTTATTACATAATGGAGATGTTCAAAGTACAGATAGGATACACTAAACATGCAGGCAGATAGGAAAATACACGGAGACAGATGTTTAAAATTTCATAATACATCACAGGATCCACCTCAACCACAGTGCTCAAAAACCGCCATGAAGCGTACTGTACTTACTATCGCGCCACTTTCTCAAAAAACGTCTTGGTCTCATCTGCAGTCAGTGGCCTCATCCTGGAAGCTAAATCTTATTGCAAATTCAATCGTTTTATGCGTAGTCGAAAACGCGGGAGTTCACGTAACGCCCTAGGTCAGGCACGGGCGGCAAAAACACGCGTTGCGCGAACGCATGCACGCTTAAAGCTAACGCGGATCGGCTTCTTGATTAAATTCACGTTTTGTATCATAAGCGCCATAAACGAGCCAAGCATTTCGTGGCCCAGAGTGACCTTAAAAGACGGATATATACGAATGACAAACTCATATGAGATATATACATAAGTAGCCCCCTTGGAATCTACAACGACCGATTGATTATATAAAATCTAGATCAGGGGAGCACAACTGGCGATTCAAGATAAGGCAAATTACCTGAAAAAACGCAAAGTTAACTCACAAGTTGCGAAATCAGACAACTCACCTCGAAAGTGTCTGCTGTTGAGGTAAAATCTGCTTTCCTGGAGCACGGATGTACGTAAACCGAATCCGGTTTTTCACTGATGGATCTGCTCATAGTGGCCAGGTAGGAGCAGCAGACGTGGGTCTGGAGTGATGATTCACCGGACGCCTTCCAGACGGTGTACGGTGTTGTCTGCTGAAAGAATGCGCTATCAAACAAAGGCTGTTGCGACATACGACGCAACGATATGCATAGACTCCAAGGCATCGCTGCAGACCCCTCAGCGACTCGATGGTTTCAACCAACCGAGAGTGGATGACATCCATAACAGAATGCGTTCACTACCCCCAGACAAGCATGTGACCTTTCTGTGCATACCGGGACATTACGGCATTGCGGGAAGTGTTCCTGCCAACACACTTGCGAACGAAAGATGCCTTCTACGAACACGCAACAACAAATCCGGTAGAACACGCAAGTGCCCCTGGCATTGGGTGACGTACTTCAATTAACTGAAGTCCGTTTTGCTTGGTATTTGCAGAATCGGTGGGATGTGTTTTGCATGTTAGCCGTACATGCATCGAATCAAAACGCATAGTCCAACCATGGCTGACGTATCATCAGAATAGGCAGGGAGAAGTGGTCTTGGCGCGTTTGAGATGCGGCTACATTCGTCTCACCCACAGTTACCTATTCAGTCGCGCACCGCCGGCCCGCGAGACTTGTAATGTCCGGCTTCCGGTAGAACACGCATTGGTTGGATGCAGAGGCGAATCCTGAGGGCAGGCCACGGGCTATGCCCCCACCTTGAGTCCCGAAAGGGTCCATAGCCGGCCAAACAGGTGCAGATTTTGTAACACGAAACGCAACAATATTGGACGTCCTCGGGCTCCCAGGCGACCAGGAACAGCCGTAAGCAAAAGTGATTTGCCGCCGAGTAGCCAGTATATATTTATTGAAAAAGTTATCAATGAGGAATTCTTAAGCCCCGTTACGCTGTCAAGGGGCCTTTTGCCGTTACCGAGGGACCCACATGCCCACTTACAGGGTTATTCCGATCGGAGCATTCCGTTCGCCTTCGGGGAGCTTTCGGGAAGCCTTCCACATTACCTTTGATTTGTTTGCATTTTCTCGGAGGGCCACGCGCTGTTGCTAGGCCCTTCCTGCTAGCGTGCCGGGGTGCTTTTGTCAATCAGGAGCCTCCCACGGATTATTTCTATTCGCCAGAAAAGCTCACTACGCTGTAGCCGAGGTCCCATATGTGAACTTGCTGGCATGATGTCGGTTGCTCAGGGGCGCTTTACTTTCGTCTCGGTTAACCTACTGATACACCGGCGATATGCTCATGGGTCCTCTAAATTAGTGCAGGGCGCTTCCAACTCTCTGTCGCGTACTTAGGGCAGTATGCTCTTGTCTGAGGCACGTCTGTTAAGCTGCTTGAGCACATTCGGTCGTTCGGGGCGCTCCAAATCGGGAATTGGGTACTTGGAGCGCTCCATTCTTTTTAATGGAGGGCTCCACACACTTGTCGGGGCCCCACCTGTTAGCCTGCTGGGCCACACTAGATGGCTTGGGGGACCTGCCCACTGGGTATTTGAATGTAGGGCCCTACTCTCCTGTCAGGGGTCATCTGATGACCCGCTGAGTATACTCGATCTTTCGAGGCGTTCTACACTGGGTCTTAGGTACTTCTTATTTGAGTGAAGGGCCCGGCACGTTTGTTGGAGCCCTCCTCTGTTTGCCTCATTGGCTGCTCTGGATTGTTCAGGGGCCCTGCAGATTGAGTCCAGGCGTTTGAATTTAGAGCCTCACGCTCCTATGGTCGCCATCTGTTAGCCTGCTCGGCCACATTCGACCATTCGGGGTCCTCTACATTGGGCCTTGGGTACTCTTTTATGGGTACTTGATTGGGTACATTGAGGGGTTTAGGCATTAAGAAGGGCAGGGTTGTGAATAGCCCCGAAAGGTCTCCAAAATGGCTATGTTAGTTAGAACCCCCCTATAGATGTGAAACACTCCCTTTAACAATGAAATCGAGGCTAACCCCCGATGTCACATCACTAATGATTGGCACTCGCGTGTCACCATGCGTGATGTAGGACAAGACTGTCGAATTTTGTTATCGCTTTGCATGTTCAGGGGGAGGGGATGACTACGCATTGATATGATAATTAAGTTGGGGGACTCTGATACCGACAGTACATCAATTGTCCCTCGCGTGTTGCTAGGCCTCTCGAGGGGCCAAGTTGTCAATTTTGCCAAAATATAACATGCACAAGGAAAATACTACTACATATTGATGTAGAACGATCATTTTGGAACGATCCATGCATGAGCTGTGACGTGAACGATTACCTGGGTTTTAATGCGGCGGAGTCGACATATTGACTACATCATTGACCTGCGGTGCTCCGGCTGTGCATACTGACATGACGCTTTTTTAACCGTAGATTGTCACGACGCAATCCAGGGTCCTATTGGAACATACCAAACGACGTAAGATATGACGCGCCGTAGTCCTGTCCCGCATAGTTCAGGTATTACGTACAGCTGGTGAAATTTCCACAAATGCCGTCGAATGATTTTTAACAGCCGACTAATGTGTTACATATGCTCCACGTACTGACTGCTCGCTGGTAGCGATGCAGAAGGTCCTACGTGGTATAGTGCATATGGCACGTGCACGTGGCACGTGCGTATAGTACGTAGGCAGCTGTCTAGCAGTGGGTTGAAAAATTTCACCCCCTACAGATACTAGGGAGTTGGCTGTTGGTCGATCTCTCCGCGACTCACAGATCAGGTGTGACATATTTTTGCACAAGGGTAGCCACTAGTGAAAGTAATAACTCGTGTAAGGTACCGTTGATGGATTCGCGACAAAGGAGTTTTTCTAGCCCTAGTTTCACACGGGGCTGGAATGGAAAGGAGAAGTGTTCATAACGTTCAGTTGTCAAAATGTCCAAGATCGCTGCATCCAGCGTTCATAACCTCTCACAATCCTCAAGTGTCTCTCGACAGGGGAAGATCACAACCTCCAAGCTCGCAGCTTCCGAAATCACGACATCCAAAGTTGGCATAATATCCGGTTTGTTCATGCCGTGCGGAGGCTGGAAAACAGTGTCAATCAAAAGTAATCAACTGCACAGCGTGATCGCTCGATGTAATGAACATTGGATATGACAGCTCTGGACGTTGTTGGTCTCGATGCTATGATTTCCGCCAATGGGCACGGACTGAGCGCTTTTTGAATATTGTGATGGCCGGATGTGGCGATTATGGATGACATGGACACTGGATGCTACGATTATGGACGTTTTGATGGTTCTCCTACTTGTGTTGTACATTTTCGCATGCATATAGGAAGACTTTTGTCTTCGAGATGCCGCATGACCACTGCGTGCCAAATGTCCTGCGTCCCACGCCAGACGCTGAGCACGACACTGGAGCCGGCTACATGGTCGTGTGCACTATGCACAAAAGTTACAAGCCATATCACTGTAAAGCTTTCCACACGTTGGCGAAAAAGGGATGTCCCGTTCCGTCTTACCCCGCTTTTTAAATAAAATGTTTAGGGCGAGTTCTTTTTGCGCGATCTTGCCTGCGATCTCCACTGTTGCTGCTCGGCCAGAAGAGTGGCTTTCTATTCAGTTGAGGGGGGCTTCAGTTCCTCCCCCTCACCTTCGGTACCAGCCTTCATAACCCTGAATGGGGTGTGGCCCAAATCCGGAGAGAGAACTGTTCGGTCGAGTGAGTAATTTTTCGCTGGTCACTCCCTGTCCCCCTCAATGCACTGCAAAACTACTTCCCCTTGCGCTATCATTTCCCAGTTTGAGAGAGCACTTCCCAGTTTTGAGGACGTTTCCCGGTTTGAGGATTTTGAGAGATTTTACGGATCTATTTGACCGATCAGACCGGCTATTGCCTTCGTGCCAGCGAGTAGTCTCTAATGTAGCTAATATTGTTTTTGAGTGTGTGTACCACGCCCGTGAAGCATTTCAGTCACTCACGCTTAAATGGTTTGACATTTTAAGATATGCAGGCCGAGTGCGTGCGCCGGAGATGTCTACAAAGTTGGAAACGCCCGTTGCGCCCGTCAGCCAAGCGCGCTCGGTGGATTGAAGGGGCTCGTTGACTGGCTGACCACACCTCGCATAGCAGTGGATACGTATTCCTTTCTCTGGTAGGAATTGCCACGCACCAGGAAGGCAAGGCAAGTCAAGTATCCAGGAAGGACATAGGCTAAGGGTCCCCGGCCAGTTTGTTTGTGTTTTAAATTTTCCAGACTCGCCTGCAGATGAGTGCACCTTGTGTTTTGAGTCGTGGTCATGATACGAGTCTAGCAAAAATAAGAACTACTCTTATTTTGAACTGTCATGGCATATGGGTTAAAGGATTTTCCTGTGATTTGGACGAATGCATGACAATACTGTGCTGAAGCTCACCCTTAAGTGTGTTGAAGTCAGGTCTGGCCAAAAAGTGCTTAATTTGCAGTTAATTTTGGGTAGAAAATGTCTTGTGAGTATTTGTGTCAGAAGTTACCTGTGTGACATCATAATTCCTTGAAAAATTTGCTCCCTATGCACAGAAATCGGTTGTGGCTGGCTGCATCTGCTGGAGCTCTGACATTTGCACTGTATCTGCACTTAAATGGTTGCCATCATGTCACTGCTGTGTCTGGCATCCTCAGCATAGTGTGTATTTTTTGCAGTCTGGTATGGGATCACATGTTTCTTTTTACCCAGCCTTTAGGCCAAATTTAAAGGAGGTTAACACCCTGATCAGGTCCTGATCAGGTCACAAGCTAATGATGTTGCTTTAACTGGCCAAGTTGTATTGGCTGCCAGTGCCAGCAGCTACTGTTGTATTCTCTCCCTAACCCCCAAAATTATCTACAAATAAACAAACTGAACCCCTCAAGCAGGGAAGAGGTAAATTTCCCACTCTTCTTCTGTCATGCCTTTGTTTGCACTCTTGTCAGTGTTGTGGGCCCATAGGTCAGGGTAGCAATTCACTGCAATATAACTTCTTCACTGTCTTGTTTGGTTAGGTACTCAGCTTTAGTGCCTTGATGCACTTTTATTTATTGCTTGACTGCACAAAATGAGCATTTTGTGGGCCCCATGTGATGCAAGCCAGAACATGTGACACAAACACTTGTTTTTTCCAAAAGGGTCCATCACGTCTATTGTGGTTTGGTTGACTCTACCCACTACACACCTTTTACCTTGGTAATCAATGTAATGTAACTTGCTGGTGGTAAAGTCCATTGCTTCCATACTGATGCTGGGCTTAAGGAAGATCACACTGGGCTCAAGGAAGATCACAAATTGTCACCAAGTTGATTCTGAGTCTGTGACCAGTTATAATTATCCAATACTCCATAGAAATTCATGAAAGAATCTGGAATATAATTACACAAAAGGTGCATTGATAATGAATTTATGGCACCTGCAGGCAGGCAGCTGTGGTGACAAAGTCAGCTTTGACTTCGGCTTTGTTGTTACCAATTTGAAGCCACAGTTCTTCCCCTGAATGGCTTCCAGTTTTACTTCAGCTTTTGGCTGTTTTACCAGTGATTGGGTTGGCTTGGCCTGACTGGCTGGCCTGAAGTCTAATCTAGGTTTGAGCTGTTTGGATTTTGTGCCATTCAAAACATTTGCATTTGGCTTTGGCCTCAGCAGCTTCACAGCCCTTTTAAGAGCTGGTTTTGGTCTCAGTTCATACAGATTTTGATCAGGTTATGACTATGAGTTTGACTCCATGCCAACTTAACCTTCAATAGCTTTGTGCTGTTTTACTATGTGGCTTTGGTTTCATTTCATACAGGTTTAAACAGATTATGACTATGGGTTTGACTCAATGCTAACTTAACATTCAATAGCTTTGTTTGCCCTTTTTCATTATGATGCCACAATTGGTGTCTCCTGCAGCACACCACACTCCACAAGGGTGTCCTGATTCCACACAGCTTTAGGGGATACCAAACCGGTTTGGGCTGTTCAAACCAGTGCTGTCCACAGGATTCAGTCCATTTTGCTTTGATATGATTTCAAACTGAAGCAATAGGGGGTGTTTGGCTTTGGCTTTGACTTAGCATTTCCCAAATATGAACCCCTGGATTTGGCTTAAGCTGAGCTTCTGGTGTGCAAAAATGCAGCCATTGGTTTCAAAGTTGGCTAGAAATAGCAGCTTCCCAGTTTCAAACTTTAAAGCTGACAGCTTCACTCCCAACTTCAAGTTTATGTCATTGTCTTGGCTTGGGTTCAGTTTTGAAACTAGAAGCCTTGCTTTGGCTCCCCATACTTGCTTGCATGATGCCAGGGTTGATCCCCAGAACACTTTATTTGGGTGTGAGGATAAGGGCCCAGATATGCATCCCACAGGTCAAGCGGGCTGACCAGAGGTGATGTCTAGACTTCCATTTGCCAACAAGGACTGGGTCCCTGGATTTTTTGAAGTTGTCCATGGAATCTGCATGATGGTTTTTCAGGCTACCATTTCCACTTTTAGCAGTTGTAGTGCTGCACAATATCAGCCAGGAAACTGCCGGCTGAAAAGTGCCGTCATGATGTCACTCCATAAAAAGAAAGACATGTGCTGCATCAATTGTTAGGTCCATGATGCCGGTTCCATTCATATGCAAAATTGTGGAATGCTTCTGTCATCAGCAGCTCATGTCTTATCTGGAGCACCAAAGCCTTTTTAGCACTGGGCAGTACAGATTCATGAAACGTCACTCGACCTGTACTGCTGTTTTCATTGTTACTGACAAAATTCTGCATGAGATGGACCTTTTTGAGGTGATGCTGCTCACAGTTATAGATCCAAGCCGTTATTTTTAGGTGATGAACTACTCCATTGTCCTTACCAGACAGCAGTTACTCCCAATGTCCATCAGGTGTTTAAAGGTCATATGGAGGGCCATGCACATCAAGTGTGAGTTGTAAAAACACTAGCCTGTTACACCATACTGTCTTTACTTGTCAGGTTCCCTGTCTGAGGCCCATCATTGTAACACATTGCTACAAATGACCTTACGTCCCATGCCATGTGAAATCGGCGGCTTTCGTGTATCAGTAGCCCGTTACGCTGAGACACGTAGATCGCCGTAACTGAACCACGCAGCAGGCGGCCAGTCTGCGGCGATCTTTGGAGACTGTCCCAGGCACAGTGTGCACTTGGTTTCTCCAACATGGTTTGACGTTTGACGCTGATAAGACGGAACTTTTTGTTTGTGGAGACAGGCGCCAGCTCAGCCAGATACGTGAGTCACCCACTGTCATGTTTCTGGAAAGCCTCTCCGATGCTCACATGGCGTGACAAATCTAGGCGTGGTCATGATCCTGCACCGTCCTGGGGGCTGCACATGAGCCATGCCACTAGTTGCTTATTGGCATCCTTGTCACTCTCCTAAATGCCAAACACGTGGTGCCTGCTAATGTTCTGCCACTCATCATTGACGTGCTTGTGCTCTTAAGTACTTGTTACTGTTTTCAAGTTTATGGGAGCACGAACAGCACAATTATTACCAAATTGCAGGAAGTGTTTTAACTTCGCAGTGTGTGAGTTTTCTGGGTGACTTAGATTTAACCTTGTGTTGGATGTTCTAGGACGGTCTTAGCGGCTTAGTGCCCAAAGGTTCATTGGCTGCCTCGACTTTTGCCTTTTACGCAAAGTCTTAGCCTACGGGAAGGCAGAGACTGTACGTGCTCAGCTCATCTACAGCCATAAAAAACCGAGCGGGGCACGCGTCACTCGAGTATACGTCTACCGAGCTGCACGTGTGCGCAACGAGCGCGGCACGCGGCACTCGAGCATACGTCTACCGAGCTGCACGTGTGCACAACGAGCGCGGCACGCGTCACTCGAACATACGTCTACCGAGCTGCACGTGTGCACAACGAGCGCGGCACGCGTCACTCGAGCATACGTCTACCGAGCTGCGCGTGTGCACAACGAGCGTGGCATGCGCCACTCGAGCATACGTCTACCGAGCTGCGCGTGTGCACAACGAGCGGGGCACGCGTCACGCGAGCATGCGTCTACCGAGCTGCGCGTGTGCACAACGAGCGTGGCACGCGCCACTAGAGCATACGTCTACCGAGCGGCGCGTGTGCACAACGAGCGGGGCATCCTCAACAGCATTGCCTCTTGCCTCGTGCCTCGCGGGCATACCTCGTTTTAGTTCAAGACCCGTGTTCGCGACATTTTTCAAAGAACCTGACATTTTTACCTGTTGTACATGTCTCTCTGTGTCGTGTGACGCTTGTCGCGCTAGGATTGCCCATGTCCCTGCTACCAATGTCTAAAAATAGCCCAACTAATGTGGATGGACCTGGCTAAGTGCAAGACAATACAATATGATGTAGCGGCCCTATCTAGGCGTATATTCCCTGCATTGTACTGGAGTCCGTAGAGTTTGGGTTAGCATAGGATGACGGCGGTCTCTCTCCACGTCCTTTTTTATATGGACCATTCAGTTCTGAAGTGGTTTGCAGTCACTGAAAGGCACAATTTAATCAAGCAACACAAAACCATGCCACTTAGATTTCAATTGATCTTTGGTTGAGTTTTGTCTCATATCCATTTGTATTATTCAATATTATATAAGATGGAACATCGATATGTCGAGATATTTCACGTTTTTGTTTTCGTCAGTAAACTGTTTGGTAAAGTTGAGATGACGTCCTCAATAATCACTTTCCATGGGGCAGCTGTACTGGTGACGTTGAAAGGTGAACGAGGCATGAGAGTCGCCGCTGGATTTGCAGAAGATGGGGAGCAGGACGGAGTTCAGCAACCCTGAGGTGCCTGGCTATGTGGGTTTCGCCAACCTGCCCAACCAAGTGCACCGCAAGTCCGTCAAGAAGGGCTTCGAGTTCACCATGATGGTGGTTGGCGAGTCGGGCCTTGGCAAGTCCACACTGGTCAACAGTCTCTTCCTCACCGACCTCTACCCGGAGCGACAGGTAAGCCGGCGGAGGGCCCGCGTGGCGCGTGAAGGACGGACCATACTGACAACGGGCGAGACGACGGACCATATCGGCCATTGCTGTCTGTTAGACATCTGGTATGCGGCTAGTACCTACACTGAGGAACTTTCACGTGCCATTGTCGTTTTCATGTGCCATTGTCTGTGTTGTTTTTGCATAAGTAGAACATCCTTCGGACAGTTTCAAAACGTTAATTCGGCAGTATGGTGTGTTCTTGTTCGTCGTTTCTGTTAAGTGGCCGCTAATGAAGTATCGAAATGTTTAAGCCTACTGTACTATATTGGTAAAGCAGCCTCAGTATCCGGAACAAATTATAGGAGCTGCAGTTTTAGCTTTGTATAGCTACCAATTTGCATAGTTATGCACAGTTCCATGCCATTACGCAAAGAAAATAGCGCGTAAAAATTGCACTGTTTTGCTCCAGTCTGCACGACGGTAGATTCAGTGGCTGCAAGGACATAAGCTAGTCAAAAGCCTGACAGCAATGATACTTATGCGAAGAGGTGTTAATATGGGCAGCGTGTGTCAAGTTTGCATGTCCAATGTTCGTTAAGGGTTAGTTCAGCTGTCATTTCATGCAAACTATCTTTTTCTGAGACTGATGCGTCCATTCATCTGTGTTGCTGTGTATTGGTGTTTGATGGTTGTTTGTCAAGACGGACATGCCAACATCCATGGTGCCTGCCTTCTGCCGCACAGCCTTTGTAATCAGTATCAGGTTCCGGTGGTACTGCTAAGCCTCTATCAGCCGCGGACGTCTGTTGGCCATCGATCTCAGGCAAACTTCCACTCCCTCCCCCTCCCCCCCCCCCCCCCCCACGGCTCTCCCATAACTAAGTCGTAGTTTCCATTCGATTCCCGCGTTCAGCCGCCGTTGCACATGCATATTTCATGGTATTTACCAAAATGTGCCTGGAAGTTTACTTTGGAAGCTGGTGAGGGTTGTCGACACGTGTTTTTACCTGCTTACGTATCCATTTGTAGGTTTTCTAAATGCAATGTATGTCTTCTGGCCGGTGGTGGGCCAAGTCCGGCCAGAAGATATCAATCTCATCATCACGACTTTTCTTGATGAACGTGTGTAGACATAATGAACAACTGTGCCTGCATACATTCCCACTTGTGTCGCTTCTTTACATGATATGACTCAGGACCACCAGAGTGCTTGACGCAGACGTCCAAAACCGTTACCGTGTGCGGGAACTCGTTCTTATGCAGATGCCTGGCTTCGCGCTCAATGCTCCCGTTTTTCAATGCAGTGCTCTTTTACGCCTTGGCCTTTGGCCGTACCAATGAAATGTCTTGCGTTCATTATTACAAGGAGACTTCCGTACACTTCCGAGGTCCCACCCGCAGTTAAGATGTCCGATCCTGCGTTTTCCCTGTTTGTCCAAGTACTTGATTGGCGCCTGTCACTCCCTGACTACACTGTCCTCGCCATACATTGACTGATGTGGACGTGAGTGTTTTGGGACCTGCCGCTGGAACACGGAGAACTGCGCGGCCACATGTCCTCGTGATCTGCCGGCTCGTTCTTGATACGCGCCTCCTGAGGACAGCAACCGTACAAGCGGCGGATTTTTCTGAAGGCGACGACTTTGTGACCTGTGTATGCATTCAGCACATTTTTCTGTACGCTTATCGAGCGATATTTTCAATACGAACGGGCAAAGAGCCGTGTGCTGCTGCTTCTGCCAGGTGCCGGCGGCGTCCGACGTCACCAAGAGGACGGTCAAGATCGAGGCGTCCACGGTGGAGATCGAGGAGCGCGGCGTCAAACTGCGGCTGACGGTCGTCGGTGAGTCCGCGGCGACGTCAAACTGCGGCTGACGGTCGTCGGTGCGTCGGCCGCGGCGCCGGCGGCCGGGGTCGGCCGCGCGCGCTGCCCCGGCGCCGAGTGTTGCGGTCGTGGGCTCGGCGCGGCAGCCGCATGTCTGCCGCGCCGAGCGCTGATGGGCGCGTCGGCCTACAACTGCGACGATATGCTGCTCACGTGAGAAACGTGCCGGGTACGGGCTTCAGCGCGCGCGCGCGTGTGTGTGTGTGTGCGTGTGTGCGTGTGCGTGTGCGTGTGTGTGTGCGTTGTGCATTTGCGTGCGTGCGTACGCGCACGTGCGGCGCCGGGGGGCGCTGGGAGGGCGCGCGCCTCTGGTCTGCCGCCTCCTGAGCGCGTTGGTGCGCTGTCGGCAGATACGCCCGGCTACGGCGACGCCATCGACAACACCGACTGCTTCAAGCCCATCGTGCAGTACATAGACGACCAGTTCGAGAAGTACTTCAAGGACGAGTCCGGTCTCAACCGGCGGAACATTATCGACAATCGGATACACTGCTGCTTCTACTTCATCAACCCGGCCGGCCACGGTCTGAAGCCGCTCGACGTCCAGTTCATGAAGATGCTGCACAACAAGGTCGGTTTCCGATCCGCGTCGTTCAGTACGCTCTGGCGCCATTATACGTTGTAATGCGAATGCTCGCCTCAGTAGCTGCGTCGGTGTGTCTTCAGGGCCTAAAGTTGAACGCTATGTATGTTACGGCTTGGTTTTGACGGAGTCGAAATCGCGTGACGCTGTCACACCTCCGGTGCGTTTTGCGCTTCCTGGTGCGACCTGTGCTGGCTAATTGTCACCTAGACTCTGTGTCAGTGGGTTGGAGAAGTCAGCAGGCTTTCTGCAGCTATCACCAAGACACATAGGAATGGGTTTCTGTGGTGTCTGAGCTCCACAGGAAAAGTGCGCTGCATTCTGAGCATACTGTATTTAATTACTTTCCCTCATGCTTTTGTAGCTGCGGACCTGCCGGTTGGTTATGTGCCACATAAATTGTGTCCCGGCCCTTGCATTATTTGACAGGAAGCTTCAAGTCCAAATAACTATCTTGACAGTAAAGGAAAATGTGTAAAGCCCCCTGTAACTTGGTATCTTTCATGTTCATGATTTCATTGCCAAATTGAAGCAGGCGGCGCATCTGTAAATTCATCTTCCCTCGCGACATAAAAGCAGAGTGTCGCCGCCTTCCGTTCACGGGATTCTCCGTCGTCATCGTAAGACAATTTTCTTACGCATCGCCAAATACCATCTGAAAACATCATTTCAAGGAAGCGAGCTTGTGCTGCGTTAAATCCTGCGCACGGAAATAATGTAGATTTCCTCAGACATGTCTGCTTGGGCCTTCCCCCTCTAAGGCCTGTCATTGACTGTATTTGGGGTCTTGCAATCTGGAGGGTATCCGCAAAACAGATGGCCAGAAACAAACAGAAAATTCAAGATAATCGAAGCGGCCCAGGGTGAGGAAAAACGGAAATTTCAAGATATCTAAACGATCGAGAAAATAGAGTTGGAAAAGTCGATGGGCTTTCCCTCCCTTTCCCGCTTCCCGCTCGTCCCACCTGCACAGGCATGGAGTTAAGGCTGGCGAGTTGCGGTTGTCTGTGATTGTCCATGTCTGTGTGCATCTGTGCCGTGAGGTGGCGGAGCATCTGTGACGCCTGCGCGTGTGACCTGCGGCGCCAGGTGAACCTGGTGCCGGTGGTGGCCAAGGCGGACACGCTGACCAAGGCCGAGATGGAGCGGCTCAAGGTGCGGCTACGGGCTGAGATAGGCGAGCACGGCATCCGCGTCTACCAGCTGCCCGACTGCGACACCGACGAGGACGAGGAGTACAAGCAGCAGGTGAGACCGACACCGGGAGCGCAGACGGCACGTCACGCGGCGAGTCAGATGTGGAGCGTGCCGGGGGATGGGGGGTCACAGACGGGATGAGGGGGAGGCGGGGGCACAGATGGGGTGACGGGGACCAGCAAGAAGGGTCGACGGGGGCACAACTAGGGTGACGGGGACGAGCAAGGACGGGGAACAGAGCGATCCAGGAGAAAGCTTGCGTTGGTTTTGCGGGGACCGTTATGAGTAAACGGCACTCATACGGAAAGAGAGGAGCCGTGTGATGAGTAAACGGCGCGAGACTGGTGCTCACACTATGTGTGCCGTCTAAATCAGGGTGGACTTCCTGTTTTGGCCATAGTGGATTATGTTATCTTGCGCGTTTAGGGGTAAGTTTGTCCCGGTGTTTTTAACTATTTTCGAATCAAGTTGTGAAGGATGCGACTTCGTGCGCGGCGTTAGTGACAGTATAATGTGCGCCTTAAGGGGTCAGCAGCCTGTAGAGACCCCAATGATGGGTTGGTGGGTGTCTAACACCAGGCACAATGCTGCTCTTGTGTAATACTAAATATCTACATTTTCCAAACTACTCCGGACACGCTGTGTTCCAGCTTGAAAAACAGCGTCAACACCGCCGGGTGTAAGAATATTCGTTTCCAGTTCACACTGACGGTGCCGTATGTGCTAGGGTTTTGGATTGTCATGCCGAGGTTTGGCGGCTCCATGCCATACAACACACGGAGTGGGTTTGGTCCCAGCGGGCTGAATGCGCGAAGTTGTCGGAGGTTTTATGATGTAATAAGTGGAGATGAGCGAGGCCATAACAATTGCAGGCGGGCAGAGGAGCAAGGCAAGGGCCTGGAATTGTCATGTCGCTATGGAAATCGCGGTAGGATTATTGTGGCCCACATACACCGTGTAGGTGTATAATGCCGTGTGGGTGAGTAGCGTGAATGTATAGCTAGCGTGGCCGTCGGGCAGAGGTCCACCAGGGTCTTGTTGACAGAGCTGTGTCGTGATGTGTGTCCCGTGTCCTGACGTTGACCCGGACTGTGACGCCGCTCTGTGTCCTGACGTTGACCCGGACTGTGACGCCGCTCTGTGTCCTGACGTTGACCCGGACTGTGACGCCGCTCTGTGTCCTGACGTCGACCCGGACTGTGACGCCGCTCTGTGCCCTGACTTTGACCCGGACTGTGACGTCACTCCGTGCCCTGACGTTGACCCGGACTGTGACGCCACTCCGTGCCCTGATGTTGACCCGGACTGTGACGCCACTCCGTGCCCTGACGTTGACCCGGACTGTGACGCCGCTCTGTGCCCTGACGTTGACCCGGACTGTGACGCCGCACTGTGCCCTGCCTCAGGTCAAGCAGCTGAAGGCGGCCATGCCGTTCGCCGTGTGCGGCAGCAGTCAGCAGATCGAGGTCCAGGGTGAGTGGGACCCGGCACGGGCTGCGGTCACAGGCCCGCCGGGTGCGTCACAAGGCCAGTCACCGTATGGCGGCACCTCAGTCAGCACCCGGAACGTGTTTCTGTGGGGAGGTGATGCGGAACACGTTCTGTGCACCTTTGTGTGTGTGTGTGTGTGGGTGTGGGTGTTGGTGGATGTGGGTGTGGATGTGTGCGTGTGCGCGACAGCGGCAGGTCCGTCCGTATTTTGTGGCTGCGGTTACGCGCGCGGAATGAGTGAAGTGGAGCTGCGGACGAAAATACGAACATAGACTCAGCGACGACGCTCGTTCGGCTGGTTAGGTCCGAAAAAGCCGAATATTCTCCATGTTGTGCCCAATGGTGCGACGTGGACGACACTTTACATGTCGCTTGTTTTTAAACCCTGTGGTCTTCGACGGGCCAAACGCCCCCCCCCCCCCCTTACTGAGCTGATGAATATGCTAGTTGAAAGTATCAAACGTCATGACAAATGAAATTCGGAAAAACTCACAGAGCATTCCTTTCGTAATGCGTGGTTGCCGGCTGGTCGGGCCGGGCCTGCCTGCCCCCCCCCCCCCCCCCCCCCCTCCGGCCCCACTCCCACCCCCGACCGAGCGGCGGTAAGCTTTTCTGCGGCTGACGCTCGGCATCGCTCGGCAGGGAAGAAGATCCGCGGCCGTCAGTACCCGTGGGGCGTGATTGACGTGGAGGATCCCAACCACTGCGACTTCATCAAGCTGCGCACCATGCTCATCACACACATGCAGGTGAGAGGGGTCGGTGGGCGGGGCGGACGCGGCACACGGCTCGGCACGGCTCGGCGCCGTTCGGCTTGCGACTCCGCGCGCAGCGGCGCGGAGTCGCCTCCTCGTAGACAAAATATCGCCGTTTCGGATGGTTCCGACCTGTCCAAGAATGTGGCTGAGCGAACTGCCTGGCTGGAACGGCCCTCCACTGACCTGAGGCTGCGTTTTCCAGGACCTGGAGGACATGACGCACGACAGTCACTACGAGAACTACCGTTCAGAGCGTCTGGCGCGCCAGACGTCCCGCCAGGGCCGACCGGCCGCCGCTGCCGCCGCCGCCGCCGCCGGCGACGACCTCTCCGACAAGGACCGCATGATCCAGGAGAAGGACGCCGAGCTGCGGCGCATGCAGGACATGCTGGTCCGGATGCAGGCGCAGATCGCGCAGAGCAGTACCACCTCGCTGCAGTCGGTCAGCAGCCAGTAGGCGGCGCGTCCGTCGCCGCGCTGGGGGCGCTGCGGTCGCCTTGCCAGCCGCCGTCGCCGCCGCCGCGGCGGCGACGGAGAAGACCGGCCGCCGTGGAGGCAGGGACGACTTGGACTGCGGTTGTGGCCGCACCACTGGCGGTGCGCTGCGCTGGACCGTCTGGTTGCACCTGGTCGCTAGCCGGAGCGCCTGGAGAGGCCGGTGCTGTGTCCACGCGAGCCGGTACGGTCCGCCACGTGGGTCGGTCCCGGCCCCGCTGGCTAGAGCCGGTGGTGCCACCGACGCGCTGTGTCTCCCAAACTTCCGAAACTGATGGGCCGTGCGGTTTGGCGTCCCAAAGTCTGCTTTGGTTGTGTAGCTTTTGCTGCATTAATTGCTTCCATTGACCGTGTGCTATTAATCCCGGACTTGATTATGCATGCCCGTTTCCGTAACTGTGTTGCTTTCTCCGTTTCTCGTGATTTCATATCATTTGCCATTCCACTTTATACGAAAATGCTTCCGATCAGAAATTCGCCATTGGCTGCCTCGTCATTGTCTTTCATGGGCCTGTGTTCAATACTACGGTGTCTTGCTAGACCTTGCGTCTAGAGCCGGATATCTGGCTTGGGTACATTTAACGGGAGCTGTCCGGACAATCAACTGGATCCGCTGTAGCACATGTCGATGGTATCTTCGTTCATTTTTATACGTATAAGCCTGGACGGCCGCGCACTGTAACATGTAAGGCCGAATACACCGTATGCCGGAGCGCCGCGGAGGTTCTCGGAGCAGCTGCGGTGAATGCTCCCCGAGTCAGCGGCCCGACCGGACTGGCCGTATACACCGTATGCCGGCGGCCAGACCGGACTGGCCGCTGGTCAGTGTCCGCCGCAGCGGTCAGAGGATGGCGGGGAACACGGCGCCGGGCCGCCGCACAGTGAACACCTCGCCTTCACACCGCTGATTCAGCGGAGTGGCTAAATAGTACACAGACATGCCCTCTTGGGTTGTATGCACGTGGTTGGATTGCTGGTCACTTTGAACTTAGATTCAACCCCAAGCCGTAAGGACCGGGCGTCATCGTTACGTTTGGATAGTTCGAAGGCAGCGGCTTGGTTGATTCCGTGCCCAATGCACTGGACAGAAATAAAAAAAAAAATGGGTGGTAGCCATGTGTGCCCTATGTTTTTGCTGCAGTCAGTTAGCGGTATCTCGCTGCTCATCTGCAAGGTTGAGACAAACGACAACGAGTCACGTTCCATCCGTGCACATAGCCCTCCAAGTACCTAGAGCAGGCTGGATCGTGTGAAGACGTGCCCGGTTTTCTTAGGGGGCATGTAGCGGTGATACAGCTCGCGCCCCACGAGCATTGCTTTCACCACTGCCTTACGAGGCCACTGTTTTCCTTGGCACTAAGAGGCTCTCTAAGATCATGGAAACTAAGCCTGCTAGAGCTACGGCAAAAATGGCAACGGAGAGTTCTCGCCTAACTAAATGAATTATGTGAAAGAGCATTGATGAAAGTGCTTTTCAAGATGTGAAACCCGGACATAGGTGTCAAAGTACTACACAGGCTCCGCCTGTTATCTCAGGAGCTAACTACTTTACAACAATTCTGTAACGCCTTAAATAGTTCTCTAAAAACTGACGAGCACCAGTGAGTATCGGATGAGTACCAGTGGATATTTATCAGTGACCTCTGATATGCCATGTCAGGTCAAACGGCCAAGTCGTTGTTGCATTGATACGCCCGGCTATATGCTGAACTAAGCAGGCCCCGTCGATCTAAAATAAGTAAGGAAGGACTTCCAAAGCAGTTAGTTGCCGTAAGCAGCCATCAAGTTTCGAAATGCAAAACGATTACTAAACTAACTCGCTCACGCTAACAGGCTGTCCTGGACGGCCGATCGAGGCTGCTTTCTCTGCAGAAGGTGCACCAGGATCTGTTACACACCACGCGTGCCGCATAGCACCACCACCCGTGATATATTTACTCTTGATCTAGCGGTTGGCGACAGGTTCATAACAACTGGTTGATCTTAATTTGCATCGCGTACATCCGGACGATATTCAAACCAGTGACGTTTATAAAAACCTGGTTTAACTCTAAAACGTAGGTGACAACCTTCACGTTCGTGTTCCCTGCCGTCTTCGTTCTTTCTCACCCCAAACGGGGCTGCGATCTTACTGCCTGGATTAGTGGCTCTACGAAGGCGACCAATGAGCTTCTAACGCTTATGTTCACCCGTGCCCACGGTGTACCAAGTTGATCCTAGCCTATCCATTCTGGTCACTACCATCCATTTCCTGGTTGCCCCGGATCTAAGGCCTCTAAGAAGCGCACCACCTCCTACGGTGAAACATCTGGTTGGTGGTGCCGCTGGGGCCGACTGCGTTGCTCTCTTCACCACTCTTTGTCTTACGCTTGGTATCACGAGGCTCAGCCTTGTTCTTGAACTTCTCGTCAGAAGAACTCCTGCTGGTATGTGCCCGATGATGGTATGACGAGCATTTCTCACGGAAGCTAGTAATTGGTATCTGCATGCACCTACATGTCATTGGCCATGCATCTGCGCATCATTGGGAGGTATATCTACATGCCATGGTAAGCATCTAGATGCCATTGGGACGTAAGCACGTTTTGTTTAGGCTGATGTAACACGTGTATGCCCTTTGCTGAACGAAAAGCGCTTCTGTACCCGATATCTTTGAATGTCTGCCATAGCGCAGCAAAAGTCAAGCACGTGTTTTGAGCAGCGTAAATGCATGCATACATACGAAGTGCCGTTCGCACGATTTTCAGATTGCCACTCTGGTCACGCCAGCCAATGCCTCTTCTGTCCTTCCAGTTATCAACCTTGTTGAGAAGATGGTGCCTGTTCAGTCGCACTCTTAGATATGGATGTCATTCATCAGTGTGCTCAAGATATTGTTCATAACCTCTCGTCGGCATGTGTCAGGTCGCGTGATTATGAAAACATCGCCTCTGCGTCTCAGGCCTCTGACGAATGATAAACAAAAGTCATTTTCGCTTATTACATCAAGCCGCTTTACCTAAAGGCTTTGCAGAACTTAGTCTAAGCTTTTGAAGTAATTGCAGCTTTACATTAGCTTACAATTGGCGTGCAAATGCTAGTGCAAAACAATGCATTGGACACGTGCAAATGCAAGATGCAGCGTGCTCCTTCCTTCGCATCAAAACTAGTTTGGAATACACAAAAGACAAGCTATATTTCTTAGAAACCCCGGGACGCAAATTACAACGCCCTAGATACGGAGATAAATCAGGTTTGAGGGGCTACCCTTGAGGGGCCAACCTCTAGATAATGATGATGATTTGGGGTTTTGGGGCGCATCGACAGCTGTACGTCATGCAGCGCCCATAACTATCATTTTATGCAGAGCCGCAAATCGGACAAGCGTATCAATCAGGTCACCCTATAAAGCCTTGATGATCAGGCCTGGTGACGTGATGAAAAGGTTATTGGGAAATTTATAGCACGAAGAAGCTGGAGCACTTTACCAAATTCGACAGCGTGCTAACAACCCCATAAAAAGTGACATAGCGTGCGACTCTGGACGTTATATCCGACAAACTGCGCTCTCGCTGCGGTAAGGCAACGGCAAGCGACGAGCACGTGATGCAGGGCCAGTGGGTCAGAGCATCGACAGCAGCATGGTCTGTCGCCAGTCAATAACAGGTGACGGTGCGTAGCATACATGCGGTCTATGCGTAACCGGCAAAGGGCAACTTTTTCCCTCCCATCGTTGCGAAAACACGACTGCCATAGTCCAGTACGGGGTTTCACGGACTTCAGCTTGTTGGTGCTCAGCGATTTCCAGTAGAACTGCCATCGCTTCTGCATAAACGACGACACTGCGGGGTACATGTCTTGAGCTGGTGGTGGTGTTATAGGAATGCGTGTCCCTGTCGTACCGCGCTCTGCTGCCGCGTCAGCGAGATCATTTCCGCGGATTATCACGTGACTTGGGATCCAACCCAGTACTACCGTTTTTTCTGCTCGATCCAGTGAGTTAAGACGCGAATGAATGTCCTGGACCAATGGATTCGACGAGGAGAAGCCATCAACAGCCAGGAGGCTGGTCAAGGAGTCGGAAAGAATCAAATGCAAATTGCTATCGTCTACTTCAATAAAACAGAGAGCTTTGTTGATGGCTGTAAGTTCGGAAGTAACGGCTGACGCGTGTGCAGGCAGCGTGAATATCCGTGTTGTAGATCCACACTCAAAAGCGCACCCTACACCTGCATCCGTCTTCGAACCATCCGTGTAAACCATCGCGTACCAGTCAAAGGAGGCTATGTGCTCTAATGCTGCGTCTTTAAGTTCCGTCATGAGAACGCGTTGCTTTTGCATGTTTGATAACGGAGAGTCCACTCTTGGCGATGCATCCACTCTTGGCGATGCATTCACTCTTGGCGATGCATCCACTCTTGGCGATGCATTCAATCTTGGCGATGCATCCATTCTTGGCGAAGACTGCTCCCAGGGAGCAGTCTTCGTGAGTTGACGTCTGATGACACGCCGTAGGTTGAAGCCGCTCGTGTCTAGAAGTTCTTGCAGTTGAAAAGCGTCAGCAGCGCTCGTAGTATGCGGAAAGAAGCATGTCGTATCATGTCATTGTGGATGAGGACGGGCCCCTCCACAACACTACGCGGTGAACGAATGGCCACTTGAAGTTCCATCATAGTGAAATGCTTGTTGTATGTCAGTATGTCACCTGTATGAAAATTAACTTGCGAAGTTTCACATCTCGCCCTGTGTCGCAAAAACCGTGGATCGCAGGTGCCATTACGGCAACGGTCTGACAAGGCTTCCCCAATGGCTTCCGCGACATCACTTGGGTGAGTGATGTGTTGATTTCCCACGCGCAGTACGGGAAGTGAAGCTGGTGGGTGCAATCCAGCGATTCTTTTAACGCGGCCCCATACATGTGACGTCGGCGTGTGGCGATTCAGTGAGTTGACGTAGCTGCGCGATGATGCACGTTTCGCCTCTCGTATAGTGCGGCGCGCGGCTACGCGTGCTTGCCTGAAAGCCATGAGGTTTAATGCATTACTATGCCGGCCAAAAGCCCTTAAAGCTCTTCGACGTGCGCGAATAGCGTAGCGACACTCGTCGTTCCACCAAGGTACAGAGATGCGACGAGGACATCCAGAGGTGCGCGGGATGCATACGTTCGCCGCGTCCAGAACACGAGACGTAAATTCCTCCACGGTCGGCGTCGCAGAGTCGAGATCGTTGGAAAAGATTTCCTGCAGGCGGGTCTCAAATCCGCTCCAGTCCACCTTCTTGAAATTCCAACGCTGAGATCGAGTACCAAGAACAGTACCACAGTACCACACGGTGCCGGACCCAGACAGGAAAATAGTCACTTCCGAGGGGGCGCTCAGAAGCATCCCAAGTAAAGTGTGGTACCAACTGCGGACTGCAAATGCTCAGGCCTGGCACTGGCGATCGTCCTGATGACAATGTAAAATGCGTTCTTACCGCTGTATTTAAAACACATGAACCTTTGTCACGCACGAAAGCCTCACATAGCCTGCCGCGAGTGTTCGTGGCATCACACCCCCACACAGTATGATGTACATTAAATTCGCCTAAAACGAGCAGAGGGGGAGGAAGTTGAGAGACTAACTCTCGTAGCCCTCCAGATGGAAACGAAGACCCAGGTGGTAAGTAGAACGAGCAGACAGTTATGGTACGGCGGTTGAAATTCACCGTTGCTGCGACAGCTTGCAAGTCTGTTCATAACACCAGACGCCGTGCAGGTACGCTTTGGTGTACAGCCAACAGAACGCCACCGTAAGCAATGGCGTCTGTTGGCATGTCAGTGCGGAAGGTAGTGTGCCCTTTCAGGCTGAAGGCCGCATCAGGCGCTAACTTGGTCTCCCAGAGACACACGGCTACCGGGCTATGCGCCCTTGAAACTGTTTGCAAGTCCTGGGTGCTTGACCTTACACCTCTACAGTGCGGAAGGCAGTGTACCCTTTCAGGCTGAAGGCCGCATCAGGCGCCAACTTGGTCTCCCAGAGACACACGGCTACCGGGCTATGCGCGCTTGAAACTGTTTGCAAGTCCTGGGTGCTTGACCTTACACCTCCACAGTTGCACTGTAAGACCGATTGAATGAGGGGGCTTTAAAAGCACTGTAATGTTTTAAAATACCTCAGCAGCGCTAGAGCCCGGCCCATGGTCGTTGGTCCTGCCTTCAGAACCGGTTCCCAAAAAGACCGTGCGGATCCTGGAGCGGATTCGGTGGAATGCCGCCATCTGTTGGCGAAATCGGCCCCGGCGGACCACGCTTTTCCGGGCGCCCGTCTTAAACGGAGCCGGCGCCGGCGACGTCGTGGTCCTTGGTGGCGGTGGTGGCGGAGGACCCATAGGCGGGTCTCTCCGCGGATCGGAGGGGCCTGTGGGAGCTTCCACACGCTTTCGGGGCGGCGGGAAGGCCTCCCCATTGGAGCGGTCACCTGGTCCGCTCCAGACAGCCGGTTGGCTGCCTTGGCACGCTCCTGGTCTGCCAGGCGTGCCCGCTTTGCCTCATGGGCGCGCCTGCCTGCCTCGCGACGCTCAAGCGTCTCTGCCGTTCGCGAGCACGCGCTCACCGAGGTTGCTTTAGTCGTCGGGCTGGCAGACAGGGGTGGGGCAGCCGACAGCGTCTGGTTACCCCGATCATGCCGAACTACCGTCCAACCATCGTCCCCTGCCGCCGACGGCGAACCCCCCGCAGGGGCGAGGAGGTTGGCAGCACGGTCTCATTCGACCGCTCCGGTGAGGAAGGAGGAGCCAGGGCTGCCAGATTGAAGTCCAGCGCCCGGTTTGTCGATACAACCGAGAGACCAAAACTCTTCAAGAGCGCAACAAACTGCGCAGCGGTCATTTGATCAGTGGAGGTCGGACGTGCGGTGGAGATCTTATAGCTCAGCTCAGAGAGCTATATAGTTCAAAGTTCTTTATCCATTATGATGAACGCCGATGCCCATTGGCACATTGAGTTCTATCCTGATCCTCGGTACAAATCGTGTTAGCCTTTCGGCTTCGCCATCTGTGTTTCGGGCAGCCCTTAGTAGTACCGTGCAGTATCAGGTGCCAGGACCATTGAGAACCTGAATTTCAGGGATGTTTGTGAGTTTCGGGCAATGTTCAGGGTGCCCGAGGATCGTGGCACGTTATTTTCTGTGCATTGCTCGGTATGAGTCACTGCAACCCCTCGGCTCAGCCGCCTGCATTTCGTGCAATTTTTATATAAAATATTATAAAATATTATTATAAATATATTTTTGTATAAAATATTTTAATATAAAATCATGTTTCGGCTGGTAGGATGCCGGAGCTCGGATTATTTATTAAGGTCGACATCTTTTAATTACAGTTTCTTCCCAGCTTCTGAGCATTTCCTAAACTCACATGCATCTGTTTTCAAGTGAGGCTAGCAAGTGAGGCTTTCAATGGCTAACCCTTGCTTCTTGTAATTATAAACCCAACTTGACACGTCGAGTACCGTCAATGATCTAACGTTAGCACTAAAACGTCGCTTAACCAGAACCTCCTGGAATATTGAATGTCTCTAACTCGGCGTGAAACCTCTGAACTCGTAGCGCAGCATTTGGACCGCGAGTTCGGAGAACGTTCCCGGAAATCGTGCTGGGCGTCCGCCTTTCCAAGCGCACCGTTCCCTAGTCACGCAGCGCTGGCCGCTGAGGCGTCGCCCACCATAACCCCAGCGGCGCCCCTGCCCATCCCGGACAAGCTGCTATCGGCGCCGGGGCCGACGGCGGTCGTCTTCCGGCAGAACAGGACCCCGGCGTGTCTCATGCCGACCGCCCGGCGCCACTGGCGCGCGGCGTGCAAGCGGCTTCGGACGATGCGCAGTGGGGCTGGCGAGGCACCACCGGCGGCTGTGATAACGACAGAGGAGACGTGCGGGGGGGGGGACTGAGCGCTCGGAGAGAACACGGCAGGCATGAAGCCAGTTACAGGACAGAATGGTCCGTACCTGGACCGGCAGCTTAGGGGGCAGAATTCGGGTCCTTTCGAATGCACCCGTTAAGGACCACGAATTGTTGTACGATTCGTCTTCCGTCGCATTGACAATGCATTCTGCGCTATTATCGGGTCCCTTTCATCATCAGTGCGATGTGGAGTTTCGAATGATGCCGCTGCAAGATCGAGTAAACCCAGATAGTGACGACGGGTCCACTAGGACGTCAACGCCGTAGGTGTAGCTTCTACCGCGCTTCGTTTCACGGAGAACCTCAGTATCGCTGTTATTTTTTCAGCATATGAGCCTTTTCCCTGCCCCCCTCCCATTTCATGGCTATCTCTAGCATGTATTCGGGCATCTACGAGCTGGTTCAAAGGGAGTATAGTGCTAGAGCTAGAGATCATCATTGGTAATAGAATCCACAGACGTCGGCATTCTGCCGGTTAGCGGTACATGAATCCTTCCATTAAAGACACACAACTTCTGCAACAGCAGCTGCTGCTCTGCTGCCAGTTTCATCTTGCTTGCGACTGCGCGATGGCGATGCAAGATGCTGACTGTCAACCCAAAACCCCCAGCGTGACACGGGCCTTTGCTGTGGGTCAGCAAACATACTCGGACCCAGCTTGGACTCCCGCAGCAGGGAGACATTTTGGACGTCCCACAGCAGTGGCACCATGACCCGAGCTATCATGGACGCAGTAGCGACTTCAAGCGACATTGCACGTCGGTGGCGGCCGCCCTGGGCGTTTGTGGTTGAGGTCCAGCTCGTGCTATCCTCTTGCAGTTTTCCCTCGGACCCGACCAACAGGTAACTTTTCTGTCCCCTCTTCTTTTTTACAGATAGATAACAGAAATTTCGGAGTGTTCACTTTGGTATTAGAATCCTTGGACGTTAATAAGCGCTCAAACCGCATGCGCTTACGCGTCCCACATGCGCCTCAGCGGGGGTTCGGATCTTTCCCTTTGGAAAAACAGATTATCTCGCGAGGACAGCGGCGGTCATTTTGAAAACGATGGCAACGAGCCTTCCTCTTTTTTCGAACAATCTTGGCAGCAGCACTCAGTGCGGCAGCAATTGCACATGGCTGGTTATTTCATTTGTTTTTGCTAAGCCTTGTGTTTGTTTCAGCGCCAAATCAAAGAGCCGATGAGACGCGTTGGCGTCGGTGGAACGAGCGAGGTGATAGGAGACCTGAGTAGATCATTGGGTCGATTGTACCAGAACGCAAGCCAGTGGAGACAGTCACCTTTACCGGGTTCCTTGGGTCTCGAATCCGTTGAAAGTGTTCAATGACAGCATCCGGATCCTGGAGACTTATTTCGGTGTCCAGTCCCAATCCGCTGGTAATGCTGCAAACACAACTAAACTCGTACCTGCAAAATAAATCAACAAAGACTGGACATTTCAATGCCTGGTGAACGATTGGACCATTTCGTGGGCAATGGAAATTGTTCTGCAAATATGTAAAGTGAGTGAAAAATCTCCGCTTTCAGAAAAAAACACGATTGTTCCTCGCTCTAATTCGCGCTTTTTCATAACGTAGACTGATAAGGTGTCGATGTGACCACTCCCTGTCGTTTAAAAAAGAAGACTGGTTCTAACAAGGCATTATTGTTAATAATACGCTTTATGTTTCTATGTCACTAATTGACCTTGTGATTCCAGGTTAAACCAACTGTTTCCTGAGGATCACGCTTTTTGAGCTTTACATGCCAATGTGAACGAGCCCCAGCCGCGAAGCCGGATGCCATTTACATAACCATGTCTCTTGTTTAGTTCTTAATGCATCGATCGGTAGTTTTTGTGTTCCGAGCATATATGTATGGCGTGGGACTTCGTCACAGTAACAGTGTGGCCCCGCTGTGCGCGACCGGCGGCTTCCTTGGATCCGGTCGCCGTTTTCGATCTGCCGATCCCCGAAAATGAAAAAGCTAGAGGCACGTCTTTGGTGTCAATACACGCGCCATGGATGCCCCATGAGCTATCGAATACTGGAGTACGATTACACAGTACGCTGGAGAGATGTGCTCGGAAAATCTTAGGGAAGGGGTCACGTCAGCTCCTTCTGCGCTATCGGGACGAGGGTTAATCCTTGATCTTAAAAAGATGGAACCCTAATTGTGAGATACGTCGCCCCGATCCATCCCTGGTACCCTCACGCGTGCGTGCTGACCGTATCATGCAGCGGGGTCGGTTGGCAAGACGAGGCGGCCGGTGCCGGTGGTCGTGCTATCTGTCTCTGTTCCGGCGCCGGCGACCACACATCCTCCAGTGATACCGCGCCGCCGCCTCCGCCGCCGCCGTCGCCGCCGCCGCACTGCAACGGCCGGCCAGCATGACGCTGCACGGCCTCCTGGCGCTGCTCGTCACCACCGCGCTCGGTAAGTGACGGCTCTCGCCGGCAGCTGCCCGCCGCCGCACTCGGCACCTGGTGACGCTAGTTGGGAGCTGCCGACCGTCACCCCGCGGTGGGTGTTGATGACGCTAGTCGGGAGCTGCCGACCGTCACCCCGCGGTGGGTGTTGATGACGCTAGTCGGCAGCTGCCGACCGTCACCCCGCGGTGGGTGTTGATGACGCTAGTCGGGAGCTGCCGACCGTCACCCCGCGGTGGGTGTTGATGACGCTAGTCGGGAGCTGCCGACCGTCACCCCGCGGTGGGTGTTAGCTGACCACCGAAACTGCTCACTCGCCTGCGGGGAATGCTGGTGCTTACCACGAGCTGGTCGTGATCATTACCTTTGGTAAGTGATGATGCTGGTCAGGAGATTCTCATCGTCACTACCCTTGCAAAATGACGACGTTCATCACAGTCGCCACCGGCTGGTATTTAAAAAAAAAACTTGTCATGCTACTCAACCCCATCATCGCACACCCCGGTAAACAATGAAGTTTATCAAGAAGTTTTGCAGTCATTTCGCTCAACATGACAAAAATCATCACGTGCCTCTCATCACCTTTGCCCTTGACAAACGTTAGCTCTCATCAGCAGCTGTCAGTCGTCACATCACTATCAGGCTTAGCCACCAGAGCTGATCAGAAGTCGTTGATCCCCGTTGCAACTGGCATCAGAGATGCTGTACTAACGCCTGTATCAAACACTGGTGAGTGATTGGTGGTGTTCATTTTCCCACTACCCATGGTCGCTATCGGCAGGTGTGACGAAGAGGGTGGAAGTGACGTCAGACTGCGAGTGTGGAAGGTGCGAGTGACGTCGCAGTGACGCTATGTTTGCCGATTTTTTTACAAATGCGCGTAGCTGTGGACAAATTGACACAGAAGCCGAACAAAATAACATATTTTACACCTGTAATTGGGAAATGTGAGCCAATTATCAATCACTCGCACGCATTGTCGTTGTGCTGTTGCAGTATTGCACTTTGAAATATTGGCCTCTCAAATAACAAAAATATTCATAAAGTACAATCAACATTTTTTGGTCTCGGACTAAACATTTTGAGGACATGAAGAAATGCATCCTAGATATGACTGGGGATGACTATACCAAGCTTCAAGCAATGATATGTAACAATGACTAAGTTCTGGCTTAAATGCATCACAACACACGCTGCCCGTGCCCAGGTGGGCCCAGGTGGGCCCAGGCGGGCCCAGGTGGGCCCAGGTGGGTCCATGGTGACGGGTGAGGGGGCTGAGGTCTGCCGCAGCAGCGTGGTGACGGGGCGACGGAAGCTATGTATCAGTTTCACACGCATACCGACGAGCACGTGACTGACGGTGGGGTTGAAGGGTACCATGCTGCACTGTCAGCAGGACTAAATCGTCGAAAGCAACGCAAAAATCAATCGGACTGCTTATTCGCCACCGAGGTCATCCATATGACCCTGACCTTAGACAGTTTATGAACAGGTGGCAGCTCTTGTTCACATGTCTGATACCCATAATTGTGGCTAAGCTTACCCACTTCGCGTTTAGATGTTCAAATATGAAGAAAATAAATACGGCACGTGACCTTGATTCTAGGCCTAGCTCAGCGCGCATAACACTAGCTACCTTTCCATATCGTACGTTTGATCAGGGCGCAATGATTTCACACCACGAGATACACTTCTAAATGATGTGCGCTGTGGGGACCGTCAGATATGCCGCAGTAACATTTTGTATAAACTGACCTTGATCTTTGACCTTAATACACAGTTAAAATTAAGTTTGTTGTGTGTTTGAGATCGCATGCCACGGTACTATCGATTGCAACTTGATGTGTTAATTCGGCGCGGCCGCCCTTGCTTTAAGCAGGGGGGGGGGGCAAATCTGCCCCCCCCCCCCCCCCGGTCCGTGATGTGCCGCTGAGGAGCCCGGTAATGTCGGGTTAATGCGTCGATGCTGAACTGATTTTGCGCAAAAAGGAGCAACTGGTGGGCATGGTACCACGGCAAGGTTGACATAGTACGACAAATGTTCATGTTCAACTGAACCATAGGCCAATTGTATCTAAATCGCAGCCAAAACAAGCTGTTCGGCGTTTTAAGCGTTGAAGTGCCCATTTGACACTGCCTGGCATTGACATTGTCTCATCGATGTCACATAATATTTCCGGGGTCCACCTTAACTATGACGGAATAGGGCTGTTTCGACTGAATCCTGCCATTTCACTGCCATGTGTCAGTCGTGTACCAAACATTTTTGGCGGCAATCAGTTTTAAATAAATTACCCTTCTGTGAGGACGCAGACGGTAAATGACTGCAGCAAAAGCACCTCAGACTGGGATAACAGAGTGGCATGACGTCCTCGCCAGCGGTACTCTATACAGTTTCATGGAATCGTCACGCCGTGCGTGGTGCGATTTCCCGGCGTCCTCGACCTTATCAAATGCGGAGAATTCCAGCTCGTCATCGGGGCTGGGCACGGGGTCTGACTGGTGGAGGGCTTATAACGTGGACGTTCAGTAGCAGGCTGCAATTGCATGTGTGCTTAATTGATGCCATGCTCCCATTGTCACTTAGCATTAAAGCCAAATGGTATGCAACTTTTTGGATATGCAGAGGAATAACTACGTGGCTATGCAGACCGCGCTAGCAAAGATGCAGGTTTCTGATAATATAACAACTTATATTATTGACGCAATGATTGAAATATATATATATATATATATATATATATATATATATATATATGTATATATATATATATATATATTCTAGTAATCAACTTAATTTGGATATGGCATTGAAAGTTTTAGTAAAAAGAGGACCCTGGAAATGGAAATATCCCGCCTGATAGTCATGTTAACAATCACATTAGTCATCCCTTTAAAGCTTGTGCCGATAGCATTGCTTATTATATATGTATATATATATATATATACATGTGCGTGTGCGTGTGCGTGTGCGTGTGCGTGTGCGTGTGCGTGTGTGCGTGTGCGTGTGCGTGTGCGTGTGCGTGTGCGTGTGCGTGTGTGTGTGTGTGTGTGTGTGTGTGTGTGTGTGTGTGTGTGTGTGTGTGTGTGTGTGTGTGTGTGTGTGTGTGTGTGTGTGTGTGTGTGCGTGTGTGTGTGTGTGCATCAGTCTCCGCATGTCAGTTTACACTCGTACGGATGTCCGGTTGAACGTGACGTGCTCGGGTGAGGGGCAATTTCATTCCCCTGAGATCTTAGGACTAAGAGAGTGGGAAACTTCAAATTCACAGGGTACAAAGGACCGTATAGGAACCCACCTGCATTCAATTTTGAGATCCCTATGCCTTAGCATACGAATGAAGTAAATCCAAACAAGGTCAAACTTTACATCGGTATCCGAAGTGCCTCCAGACCTCCTCTTATGACCGCCTTTATCCTAGATACCTGTCCTAAGCACAAGGTCGCTGGTTAGTTACCTAGTTACCTTTTTTAGGTAAGTTACGTAATGTCATGTAACTAACCTGACAAATTTCAAGTTAGTTACCTAATTTAACGTTTAAGGTCATAATGACCAAAAATATACGATATTGTTTTATTTTTGATTGATATAAGCATGACCAACTACTTAGCGTATGATTCTAAAAAAAGGCTGATCTGGGGTTATTCTAGGCCAGCGTCTTCATCTCACCTTAGAAAGGCTGCGATAAGATGCCTGTTGACGTTCCTGCGATCGATAAATTTGAAATCAGCGTCAAAGGCTACCTCATAGAGCCGCTCTCCAGTCCAAAAGTTCACTGGCTTTAACCTTGGTCTAACCTTCGTACATGGCCTAAGGTCAATGGAATGAGTCGCAATCCTGAATTTGATTAGGGGATTATCAACAAAAAACTATCTCAGAGATATATGGCCTCGTCCAACACGTTGTCGTCTCATTTTGCATGCAACGATGACCCTGGAATTGCCTTTGCTGACAGCCATGTCTCGACTTTGACCCATCATTGATCATCGACCTTACAAGAAAATATACCTGTTTATACCAAAAGATCCACTATTGAATTTCCTACAGCTATGCCAGGTTTGGCACCGCACAGCCACGCCAGTCGAAAATCATTGGGAAAAATCCTTTTGGCGGTCAAATTGACCCCCGCCCAGGCGCGTAATGAACATCCTACATCAATTTGAACAAGGTCATTAAAACACATACAAAACACATATTCAGCGTGATTTACCAGACAAGAAAATAATCACACAACATATGGCCAGAAAATCAATATCTAGTCGCAAGTGCATGTGTGTCCCTTGTAGCAGGCATGCTTTCATACTGCACAACCATCAGCACTCACGGAAAATCATACCAAGGCATGGGTAAAAAACATGGTATAGCTTCACAAAATTATTTGGAAGTGGGAGAGGCTGGGCACTGAATGTGCCACGGCCTACCCCGAAAGCTTACCAGCCTAATCCTAAAATTGCCAACATGCGGTTTTCTCACTCGATTTGGTCTACTCTCATCTCAAAATGTGAAGGGGGCTAGAGCCCAAGTGTGTGTGTGTGGGGGGGGGGGGGGGGGTGAAGCTCCCAATTGAATAGAAAACTACAGTCCTGGGTGACCGTTAATCCTGGGAGACGTTGAGGTAAAAACAGCATTTTTGCCGGTATTTTTCCTTCCAGATATGATGGATAGCTGTTCCCTCGTCATGCATCTGCACACTGTCAATATATTGAGAATGACTGACGTAATCGGTGCTGCACATAATTACGTGAGATATAAACTTAAGCAAGAATTTGATTTGAGACAGCTGTTTAACCCCTAAGACCCTCAAGCACGGAAAAATATTGCTTCATTACGAAAGCAAGGCAGCAGGGAACCACCCCTCCCTCTTCCGGGTGTCCCTAAGATGTGCCATGATAGGTTTGTTTAACTGCTTTAACTGGTTAAGTGACCTGTATAATTGGTTTATGTTGGTTTAAGCATGAACTTGCAATGAAAAGTGATAGTTGTCCCTTGCTTGTGAGCAAAATGCCACCAACATGACCTCGAGAAAGGGGCCATAGATAATGACCGATCTAGGTCGGACTCCGTAAACTTTTATATGATATATATATATATATATATATATATATATATATATATATATATATATATATATCATCAGGTGTAACTGGCCACAGTTTATAGCCCGTGCTCAGAACCATGAAAAATTTATCAAAAACAAGAAAAATTGTGTCTCTAGGTACCTTTTCATTGGGTGGGCGTTAGAAACATATTGCATATCTCTCGACTTGAAAAGGTGCAGCAATGTCACGTATTCTGTTTTATAAAACACTGTCACACAACCATACAAATTTGCTCATAGATAGCTGGAAATAAATATAGATGGTCTTGCACTGCTGAACGTGCTGAATTGACTTCATTTTGGCCATTTTGATGCATATCGATGGTGAGACGATTGGGGTAAAACAGCAACAAGTGGAAAAATATGACTTTTACTTAACAGCAATGTTGCTGTTTCTCATAACAAAACATTCAGCTGCAATTCAGACCGCTCAAACAATGCAATGATAGCTGCCACGAAGGAAATACACCACGCTACCAGGGCATACTTCGAACAAACGGCTGGCGGCACGCTTACGATACGACCAAGTTTCTGAAATTAAAATGGAGAAAGTGGTTCATCAATCGGTTAATCCTGAGCCTGAAGAAGTTGGTTCCTGTACCTGAAAGTCAGAAAGTGGATGCCCCGGGACAGCCCCGTCGGCAGATAAGGCAGCCGGCCGGTGGAGCAGCCGGCCGGTGGAGCAGTCGGCCCACTCTTCACATCACCAGCCTGAAGTCCACCTGAGTGAGCCGCCGGACCGCCAGCTCGCTAGGCGTCTTCAGACCGACCGCAAAGCGGCGCCTAAAGTTCGAGAACACGAATACATTCATGTGGCTCGCAGCTTTACCGTTGCCTTGCGCGGTGTGTAGAAATAAAAGTCCCAGCCAGGAATTGGCAGAGGATTAGCAGTGAGTCAAATGACATGATTTCTACAGATGGTTAACATCGCACGCTTGAATTATCGCAGAACGCTCAGAACGGCAGTGTATGAGGGAGCAGCAAAAAGAGAAGGTTTCATCAGTGGGGCTCAGTGGGGTGCACTCCACTGAGCTGCAAACAATCAAGATTTTCCGAGAACATTTTAGTCATCAATAACGTCTTTTCAAATGTCCGACTAAATTTCTATTAAATGGGCATTGAAAACGCAAAAGCCGACTCAGCCGCATGCATTCGCCCGCTGGAAAAGCATCTGTTGTATGCATGTGAAGAGCTTTATAAAGTCTGTCGGGTGCACCCAGCCAGATTCAATTTCGGACAGGTAGCGCCTCCCTACACACAAGCCGGGCCACTAACGAGTATCTTGCTGGATGTTGTCGCCTCGTCAAAAAGGATGATACGCCACGGAAAGCTAGTGACATGAGTTCTCCGGACCACTGCTTTTGGAGTGCGCTGTCGGAGGATAAACAGGCCTCGTAAGCACAGGTTGTCCTGCTTGAGTGAGCTGCAGGAAGCCATTCCAACGAAAGAGAAAGTGTTACTAGGCTGTAGTTCAGCATGATAGAGGTTCCACCGATCAAGTGGTCCAGTAAAGGTACTGGCAAATTGAACGTCTTTCTCGTCTATTTCTCTGTCCTGCTAACGCGGAGGCAAATGGACTCACCACGCTGAAATTCAGCACGCGTGTTAGCTGTGGCAACTCCATTGAAAATTCGAAACGTATAGTCTATACCTTTGTTTACAGCAAACCAAGTTATGATTTTTAAAGTGCTACCTAGCAATCTACAGGGAAGAAATATGAAACAAATACGAAATTATTCAAGGCGTGAAAATTGATTGCACGTATTACGAGACACAAAAGGCAAACGACAGATTGAGCTGTGAGTTATATGATCGTATGAAACTAGCCAGAAACATTACCGTGTACACGAGACAGCTGTTGCATCGAGTCGATAACGTAGGGTGCTTAGCACCCACGACTTGGATTTGTGTAGAAACCTTTCAAAATTCGCCTCCTATTCACAATTATTTTTATAGCTGATAATTCTGTAAGTATTTTTGTAGCTTTAATTTGAAACGAACGCCACCTGTATCTGGTTTGTGTATGTGTATCTGCACGCCAAAGCATATTTGCACTTGTAGGTTGAGGCTAGCCGCTACAATACCATTCCAATAATTTAGTTAGCCCTCTTTCAGGACGCAGGGAGCAAATAGCGTGAGTTCTCCCAGATACACCCACCGTTTCAATTTTTATCAAAGAATTAGTCCGAACATTTTTGAAAAAATGCAGAACCTACGCCAAAGAGGCCTGATGCTTGAGCCCTGGCCCTCACCAACCATTCATGAAATTCCAGGCCAACGGCAGCATTTGGTGAAGCACACTGAGCGTGTCGCAATGCTCGGTACGATACACCCCGAAGTCTGACGTCACCTGACCTTTAGCACGACCGTTACCATCGGCCGCGGTCGTTCCACTCAAGAGCGAATGTCATGTTTCATGTCTAGCTTCATTTCACCACGTGAACGCTCTAAGCAAGACGGGCAGATAACCCTAAGCAACTGACCAATGGACGTTGAGGGGGCTGAGCCTGCCGAAAAGTGTCGTAGTTTCTAGAAGTTGTAGCTTTGAGCAGGAGCAATTCAAGAGCATTGTGGCATCAATATTGTTCTAATAGAAGGCGAGTGTTGTTACGTAAGTGAGTCGTACTTAACTGATGGCAATGCACACATCCGTAGCGCTACAACGAAATAAAAACCACAATAGCATTCAAATATCCGATGCTTGTGATTCGTAGGGGTTCGAGCACTGATCTCGAAATAAACATTTCGGGCTGGTTCTAGGAATGTGAGTTTCAGGAGGTACAACCCTTTAACCTTACCTGCTCTCTCAGGCGGCACCTTTGGTCAAGCGACTGTGCGCCTCGGACAGCAGGATGTGACGCGCTGCACGTTTCCAACGCGGCGGGACAGTCTGGCCAGCCTTCGAGTCGGCACCAGCATCAGGTGAGACGCGCCACTGCCTAGGAGCGCCGTGCTGCTCGGCGTTGGAGGCAGACCGAACTGCATGCTTTGCGTGTCAGAGTCGGCATCGATTACGTTGCGGACCAGAATCGCGCCCAGCTACGTCGGCGGCGGAGGGCCGCTGTGGACGGCGCGTAGTGAAGCTCGCCTCACCACCATCATCACGCGCAGCTCAGTGGTCATAGTAACACGACGGTGGAGAAGAGCGCCTGCAGCCTTTCAGGATAGTTGTTCGGTCGTGAATTTAAGTTGAATGTGGGCCGCGCCTGGGTTGTAAAGCCGGGAATTGCCACTGCTGACAGTACGGCAGATACGTTGAGGCGTGGTTCCCACGTCATGACAGGCCTCGAAATCGTACCATACGCTCGATCGCTTGCTAACTGCGAATGATCTGTTCCAAAGACTGTGGAATGCCTGACTTCAAGGACAGCACGCAGATAAACGAAAGCATGGTTAATCTGCACGTTAGACATTGAAAATAATTTTCAGCCTTGGATCTTAACACGCGCCCGGGTGGCCGGCTAGATACCCTTCGCTCGGGTGGGGGGGGGGGGGCAATTTGACCCCCCTTGTGATCCCGGGAACTAAGGGAGCGAGAAACACCAAATTTACAGGGTGTCTTGACCTGTATGTGAACTCACTTAGGTCAAAGTTCGAACTTCCTAGGTCATTACCTTGAGGTCAAATAAGGTCAAACGAGGTCAAATTTCATGTTCGTCTCCAAAGTGCACCCGGAACCTAGGCAACTGTTTCTAAGCAAAAGTTCAAAAGTCCATCTGAGGTCACGACCTTGTTTGACCTTTGGAAGGTCGTGGTAACCAAAATCATACAGGACTGCTCTGAGTTCTGCATTTGAATAAGCGACAAAGATTACGCTAGGCAGTATGTTCCTAAAACAAAATGTCAACCCGGATCATCTTAGGTCAATGACCTGCCCTGACCTCTAAGAAGTCAATGGAAGATGTATAATGCGGTTCCTGCTGTCAATAAATTCGAAATGAGCACCACAAACTATCCCACACAGCAAGTCCCAGAGTAAAAATCAGCTTGGCTTTGACCTTGGTCTGACCTTCATATCTGACCTTAGGTCAACGTAATTCGCTCATTCACTGCTTTTGACGCATAAGAAAGCATCTGAAAGATGCATAGCTTTGTCAAACACTCCGTTGTTGTATCAGATTGGACGATTTCCTAGAAATTGCCTTCGCTAAAACCATGACCTGACTTTGATCTGCCATAGGTCAGCGATCTTACAAGGTACATCTAATTTTCTGTGTCACAGAATCTGTTATTCAATTGCCTACAGCTATGCCAAATTTGGCGAGGCTAAGCCGCGCCGTTCGGAAACCATTCTGGAAAAACCGTCGGGGGGTTATTTTGACCCCCACCCGAGCGCGTGTTAAGGGTTAGTCCGGTCATTAGAAATGAACGGAGTTCTCGGGCCATAGCCCACGCTGAGTATTGCTTGTTGCGTGAGCCCTGGCCTGGCCACCCGACCGTCAAACTCCAGGTCAGCGGGAAAATTTTTTGAGGAAAATGTAACGTGCTCGCCACGGTCTGTTCTACCCTGTGTCAACCGAGTTTAGGCGCGATCGCTGCCACCGGCAGCAACTATTCCAGTCAGGGGCAGATGTCATGCGCCTAGAGCGACTCAAACACGCAGCGCCGGGGGAGGGCGGATCGAGTGGCATGCCTTCTAGCGAACTAAGCTAGCAAGACGGACATGCGACGTCAATTCAGTGCTGCGGTTTACACTGTTTGGTTTGGGGTAAATTTCGGGATAGTGAAACAGATGGTCTACCACCAAGTTTGACTATTATAGAAATTATCCTGGCAATCTTGATGTGCCACCTAATGACGTTTGATTACGTTTCGCCAGTAAGCATTTTCCCCATTCATCACATACAGATCAAGTTCACCCTGTCATCGCTTGCGGTTAGGGTGACCAACCTCGTACTTTTGTCAAACAGCGCCACCTGCGTGCCTGCCTGCATTCGACGGTCATTGGAGGACGCAGCATCCCAAGGTTCAGCGAACGGTCCAGGCAGCGTCTTCGGCACCACCGTCTATAGCCTGGTGAGAGCGTCAGCCTGGACTACGTTCGGCTGACGTAGAGACAGACTTTGCAGTATTCAATGCTTATAGTATTGCTGCATTCCGCTTTGAGAGCACCATGAGGCCGCAGCGGGCTGTCACATTTGTTTCGACCCTGTGCCAGCGGTCAGTGCTCAGGCAGTGAGGCGTAGCACAAAAGAAGCTTGGTGGCGGAGAGGCGTGGCGACTGAAGTGTGCGTGAACTCAGCCGCTGCAGGAGCACGTTTACATGCCCTGAATACGTCCGAAGTCGGTAATATTGTATGGAGCACAACAAAGCTGGCGTTGTGCCAGGACAGCATTTGGGCCCGTGTATGCGATTATACCCTAAATGAATGCTGACAGCGCATGGGCGTTCGGTAGCTGGACCTGACAAAGGTGAACGCTGTCATCTAACTGCACCTCCTCCTGCAATCGGACCCACAAATATGGCCCCATCGGAAGAGAATCCTGACGACAGACCGTGCCGTGTCTCGTAACCGCAACCGTGTCTGTGACCGCATCGGGAGAGGATCGGGACGACTGACCGTGCCGTGTCTCGTAACCGCAACCGTGTCTGTGACCGCATCGGGAGAGGATCGGGACGACAGACCGCGCCGTGCGCAGGACTCGGACCTCTGTCTGGCCGCCGTGCACGATGCCCGCCTGCCCCAGTCGAACGCACTGCGTGACCCGACCGAAGTCATCATGACCGTCGTCCATCACGACAAGCCACTTGTGGGCAGCTTCCGGAGAGGCGTACAAACCAGCCATTCGGACTACGAACAGAAGGCGATGCGGTTCGTGAGTGGGAGGGTGAAAGGTGAGTGCGCACTACGCCCGTTCTGACCTGGGCCCATGCAGTGGGTGGCAGCTGAGCGGAACCAGGCTGCAGGCAGGTGACCCCGCCACGCTGAACATGAACCCCGTTTTAATAAGCTCTCATCCTTCTCTGAGCTCATTCGCAGTAAATCATACACAGAACACGTTGGGTTCAGACAAGTATAAACGCAGTTTTTTTTTCTTAAATTTATCCCAAATGGTTTGCATGGGTGACTTCGGATTCAGAGTACCTGCTAAGCATAGCTTGTTGCGTGTACCCCGAACCCACCACCCAAGCGTGCCGTCCAGTTCAACAACTAATTTTGCCTCTGCCCTTTCGCCAGACAGGAATGCGGAGGGTTTTACGTGCCGCACAATGCTGCGACACGGCCGCCTCGGGCCTGGGTTGAACCTTGTTGGCCAGTTGCCAGCTGGTCTTTCCATTTCAGTCGGGTCAAACAATGCGTCCACTCTGGGATTCGTACCCAGTGCCGCTGGATTACGAGTCCAGCATCTTTTCCCAAGACGACGGAGGCGGCGAATAGTAAATAGGCAAGCAAATCCTCACTATATTTCGGATGATGAAAAAGGATTGTCACGCGAAATGTAGCAATATTATCTTGGCCTATTTAGTACTTGTCGCGCTTACATGAGTTTTAAGTTACGATGTCATGTGTACGAAACTTTTTCACTCGACGTTAGGTACTGCTAGGCAACGCCGCGTGTGAAAAAGGAATGTTATGACTTGACGCGAAAAAGAAGCCATTAGTCCATTTTGAAATGGTTCGGCTGGGGACCCTTCAAGGTGGCATACAATGAATATTGAACAGCGCGAACCAGTGAGGTGCATTGTGCAACATACCACTTCGTGAAGCGGCGTCCGGTGCTTCTCGTCTCTTCTCCGCCCGGCAGAATATTCTCTAGTGTCTGGACTTGGGTGGGATCATATCACATGTTCTCCCAGGAGCGGCCGGAGCGCAGCGCCTCCGGCGGTTTTCTTCGGCACGCACTCTCAGCGCGAGCCTGTCCTCTTAGTCCCGGCCGATTTCCGTAGAAGTGCTGCCGCTGCTGGCGGCGCAGCCCGTGCGCCGACCCGAAATAGGCGAGGCCCGTCTAGAAGGGCTGTTGCGCACGAGCAGGCGTGACGGCGTCACCGAACTTATAATGGGCGGATATTCAGCGGACGAGTTTGGTGGTGGATCACCGATCACCCGAACTCACACGCGCCGCAGTCATCGCTTCTACTCGAGTCTGCAACAATACTTCCGCACAAGCTGTGCGGCCTGCACACGTTTGGAAGCCCGCTGCTCACCAGTGGGCGGGCGCTCGGCGGCGCAACAATTCCGTGTGTCCCTTTTTTGTTTAAGCGTTTGTGATGTGAACGCGCAGTGGAAAGCAAACCAAACACTGAAGGTGTTATGGTACTGAAGTCAACATAGGTGTTACTGTTCTAAAATGGTAAAGGAGATCAGCAGGCCTCCCATGTGTAGGGATCATTTCACTACGAATGACACGATGACGTGGGTATTCGACCAGACTTTTGAGTTCAGTACTTGAGAGATTTGTACCACCAGGTAAAAGTTTTCCACGCACAACTCTTGGGTTTCCGTTAGCTCCCAAGGTCAAAGTTCAAGGTCTTCTTAAGGGACAAATTTGTGTCGACTTTGGTTATCCAGATTTGCGTGTCCCAGCGAGAATGTCCGTGTATCAGTGATGTGCGTATCTCAGTGAAAATGTACATATATCAATGAAGATGTGCGCATCTCAGTGAAAATTTGCGTATCTCATTGAATTATGCGTGTCTCAGCGATTCAGATCTGCGCGTCTCTGAGTAAAGATATGAGTATCTCAATGAAGATTTCATGTCTCAGTGAAGATGTGCCTATCTCGGTGAATATGTCCGTATTTCAGTGATGCGGGCATGCGTATCTCTCAGTGAAAAATCGCCACGAGGTGGTACGATTGCTTGATTGGCCATATACATTTCTTAACACTGTGTATATCTTAGAACGCTAACTCTTTTCTGAGCCGATTCATGCTTGATCATACGCAAAACACATTGACTTCAGGCTCATACAATTTCAAAAAGCTAAAATAGGCCAAAATAATGTCACAACACTGAACACTGTCAACATCTCTATAGTTCCCCGTGACCTTGATCTCACATTTGGTCTGATCAGGCAAATGTGAGCAGGTTCCGCTTTGTTAAAAAACAAAGTTGTAAAGTACAAAGTTGCTTTGTAAGTTGCTTCTGTCTTAAGCTTTGCAAAATTTTGTCACATACAAGTGCATGTAAAACTGTGAATGGAAGTGTACGTCGACAATTTGTATCATTAAATAGTTCTTAAAGATATGATTCCCTCAGTGGTGCCCAGTGGTGCGATACAGACGCACCCTGAGATTACCTTTCTTGACTTAATACCCATGTTCCATTATTCTATTCAGTTGAAATTGGATACACATTATGCCAGTGGCGCTTACCCTGTGACTACAAAATTTAAAGCCAACTTGATTTAAGCTAACCTGACCCCACCCTAAAGGTCAGTGACTGGTGCGACGGGAAATCGCAGATCTGCGAAAGGAAGTGGTACTCAAGGGCAAAGGTCTGAAATATATGTGTTAAAGTCAACGGTTCACATCAATGCAACGAATTGCACTGTGTCCACGACCCGTCAGATGCCGACCGACCTTAATGAACCCAAATGATGATGATCGTGATAGTGATTTGGACTTTTACTTAGGGCGCCGACCGAGCCCAAATGACCCCGGCTAATGTTTTGAAGATAAGGTCGATTCAAGACTACTTCGTAATGCTGCTTTCGCCCATCTCTACCCATTTATGTTCATTTAACCCGCGCTTGAGCGAGGGTCAGTTTGGCCCGCAGCCCGAAGTTTTTTCTAAAACAACTTTAAGACTGCGCGGCACAGCTGTCCCAAGCTTTGTGTAGCTGTGGACAGTTACATAGTCCATCTTTTCGCATCCGAAATTAGATATGCCTTGAAAGGTAGCTGACCTATGACATGTCAAAGTCAGACCATGGCTGCCGGTAAAGGCAGTTATTAGGGAATCGTCCGGCGTGATGTGACAATGAAGTGTGAGACGAAGTCATACAATTTTGAGATGGTTTCTCAGACAGCACAACTATTGAAACTAGCGTCACGACTAATTCCATGATCCCGTGATCAGGAAACCGCTTTCTTACTGGAAAACGTGCTTTATTACGCAGTGTCTGATCCGATGCAGGACGGGGGGTCATCGACACAACATAATCTAAATTAACTTGTCGCTTTCATGAGCATACCGCCTATCTATTTGCATTTGGGAACGATTTAAGCTTGAAATGGTAAATAAATCTCAAAAGTTTTTGGTGATTTTTACCATGCTACGTTAAAATTAGGTCAACGACCTTATTTGAACACTAGTGACATTCGTCTTATGTATGGTATTGAAGTGAACGCTGGCTGCAAGATGAGATAGGAGGATACTTCGGACACCAATCTGAAGGCTGACTCTATTTGACCTGATTGTCACGACGTGGGGCCTCAAAATTCGACAAATGTGAAATGACTTGGACCTTACCGACCTTGTGAATTTGGTGCCTTCAGCTCCGTTACTTTTTTAAGAAAGCAGGTCAAACTAGCGCTTCAGCCAAGCTCAGCATTTAACAACACGCCCTTCGGGCGCGTGTCAATGACCACTGACGGCTCTAAGCAACTACTATTGTACCAAAAAAGAAACAAAATAACATTCACTTTTCCTGCTGTCCAGTGTTGCTCTTCAACATACAGCCAGAAAGTCGTCTGACAAACGCCTCCACTTCCTTTGATGACACACAAGCGTTGCGCATTTGCGGTACCACCACAGATATTTGTTTGGATAAAAGCATGCTGCTGAAATAACGTATCTATATTTCTATTTTCCTGTTTTTTTCTACGGGGAATAAGGCTATGACTACTATCTTACCCATATGCAAAAATGTTCCTCGCAAATGCACTTGACAACTGACAGTTTTGTTTGCTTTGTTTCGCTTTCCGTTCCATAATATTGGATTTGGGTTCCATAGATAGGTGGCATTAGCCAATACAAGGTCATCACGTACAAATGTTTAACTCTCAATGACGTCTGAGGCTAGAGTTACAACTAATCTTAGGTGATGAGCTTTCCGAGTAGGACTTAGGTGATCTTGTCCTGGTGATCATAGAATGAAAATAACGAGATATTGTTGGCTGAATGTCAAAATCTTAATCAGCGCCTCAAAACAATCCGTCGTCGTCCTGACGTAGGAAATTGTCATTCGAGGCTATCTAAGGTCAGTACCATCGGTGCTACTTCGTTAATGTTACGAGTGTAGTGAAAACCCATTATTGGCGTCCGTTCGCTACTAACTTTGGCCCAGCTCACCCTATGAGTACCATTTGCTGTCATAGTATAGAATTTCCCTCGAAGGAAAATTTGCCCCGACATTTCGGGGTAAATTTGGTAGATTTGGTGAGAACAACTTGAAACTGTGTACCCACTGAGTGGGCATAACTGTCATTCTGCACCAAACGTTTAGGGAATCGGTAAAACGAAGCATGCCCTTTCAGTTAATGCTGGTAAAAACGGCACAGGTTACAGTTCACCATGGTGCATGCATTTACTGGACCTATGGGTGTACTCAAACAACAAAATATACGATGCGGCAATCATTTGCCTCTAAGGCATATAGTGCTTTTTCGGTAAATAATTGGCAAAAAGTTTGCAAACATTTGCGGGGCAACTCATACGTTTTCACTATCGATTTGAGTACAGCAGTAAGGTCCAGTCCATACATGGACCAAGGTAAGTTGTGACCCGTGTCGATTTTTTCACAATGGACTGAAAGAGCATGTTTCGCTCATTTGATTCCTTTTGCATTTGGTACACAACTAAAACATAGCCATCCTCACTGGATGGTTACACAATTTCAAGTATAGTACGTTTGGACAATCTGCCACAAGCATAGTATGCTTCGGTCTGACGTTCATAAAAATGAGGGCGGATAAATTATCAATGCAAATGCTCAAATACCGTAACTTAGTCACTGGCTTCATCGGGTTAAAAGTCAACTCAAGTTCAGGCTAAATCATGAGAATGTGTTAAAATGTTGCATTTTTCTCTACAGCTCACCATGAAAAGTGCAAGCAGTTGCACACAACATGCAACGGCAATTTTTTAAGTAAAATTTTTAAGATTTTGCTCTCACAATCTGAATGATTTCATGCCAGCAAAAAGAGTTAGCTGGGCTGATTTATATCTCTGACGGCGGAGTTCACTGTAAACCGACACTTGGCATATCGTGATATGCTACTGAGCAAACATCTATACGGCAGTACTTGTGGTAAACGCACACTTCGAACGGGTATAATACTTGCAGTAATATACGTATACGTGTGCCGAATATAAGCGTGATCAAAAGAGATCAGGAAATTTCTTACACAGCTTGACGTGGAATCTGATGACCTATAATGACCCAAAGGCGACACGGATCTTTGTTTGGCCCGCCCTCACACTTGGCGTTATTCCCTGATCGCTACGCGAATCTCGACAGCGGACAGAGCGAAATCAGCCTCGCCCCGAGCTCGCCTGCCCACCTCAGCGGTCTAAGGGAAGACACTGTGGCCAGGTGCCCTCCCCCAAACCCACCCTTCCCTTCGGCCGTCTGGTCCCCCCAGTCCCCCCCCCCCCCCCCGTGTGCTCAAACATTTACCGATGCACCGCTGTCATTGTGGCGTAAATCAGGCGTAATTGAGTGTCGTCGGGTCGTCAGTGAGTAGAGGGCAGCATGCTGTTTTTTTATAATGAAATTAGAGCTATTGGCTGCTACCTGCTCTTGTTTGGGTGACTCATGCTACTGTTGCTGATTGTTCTGCTTTGTCCGGCGTCCCGTACCCCGCGTGTACGTTCCAGCTGCTATTCATGGAGCTCCTATTCATGCCCATGTTGATTCGTTGCATTGAGCAGGTCATGATGTTTGGCACAATGCAGGCCATGCAAAGCGCTCGTCATCGTGTCGATAAAATATAGGGCCCACCGCTCATGGCCTTCCTTTGTATAACATCCACCAATGCCGATGCAAAACTGTCGCGTTGAAAAATGTCATCCATTTTTCAGAGGATGTGCCTGACGTGACCACCGTCCACACCCACTTTCGGTCCGCCGACATGAGAACGTACCTGGAATGTCATGTCGGAGCAGAAGAAGACTTGCTGCGTGTTCGGATCTACGACACCAACGGAGAATCCTCACAGCTTTTCAATGCCAATCGGAAATGTACATGCCATTGCGAAACTCCCCCTGCGTAGACGCCATCAGCCCCGTGGCTTGTCGTACTCACGCACATGACGCAGCTCGATGGCTGTAGGCATTTGCTTTGTTCAGCCATCTCTGGCTCAACAAACTGATAGGTCCCGATGGTCCGTACCTACAGACCTGATAATGTCAAGCTCAAGGGCGAGGCTAGGTCGGTCAGACTCTCTGGGAGAGAGAGAGAGAGAGAGAGAGAGAGAGAGAGAGAGAGAGAGAGAGAGAGAGAGAGAGAGAGAGAGAGAGAGAGAGAGAGAGAGAGAGAGAGAGAGAGAGAGAGAGGAGAGAGAGAGAGAGAGAGAGAGAGGAGAGAGAGAAAGAGAGAGAGAGAGAGAGAGAGAGTAGGAGAGAGAGAGAGAGAGAGATAAGGAGTAGATAGAAAGAAGAATATGATAGGATAGAGAGAGAGAGAAGAGAGAGAGAGAGAGGGAGAGAGAGAGAGGGCGAGAGACTACAAAAGTGGTCGTAAGAAATGCCCAATTTATGAGTTTTGAAAAGGAGTCTTCAACTTGGAAGCTGCATGGAGTTAAATTTGGAGGCATACTTGAGACAAAACATTGTGTTTTATTTATCAGGGAAATTCCACATTCTCTCAACCACCGTGTCGTTCACTTTTGCACATATGTTGATATGCATCTGCATTCGAGCTGCACTTGAACTTGAATCCGCACGTACATTTCAACCATGCTAGAATGGACGCGTGAAATGACTTATTAAGTCAGATCAGCCAGCCTCGCTCTGCGAAACTCAGATGCGAGAACGCTTTCTCATTGCAGCTCAGATTCAAATCCGTTTGTAACTACGGACAGTACTACTTTGATGCGTGTTCCAGCGCATGCTTTTAACACCAACCTGTGGTCGTTTTATTTAGATAATAATACCGACATTTGTGATGTACTTATTGTTAGAGTGGCACAGCTTCGTAGTCGCGCAGCTTCGTAGTCGCGCAGCTTCGTAGTCGCGCAGCTTCGTAACCGCTACTAATAGCAAAAAAAAAAACATTATGCTGCCATTCAGAATCATAACAATACAAAATATACAAAATATAGCAACACAACGTAATATAGCATAATATAATAATATGCAAAATGCAGAGTATTATAAGGGAAACATAACATAGTGTTATCAAAGGTCATAATATTGTGGTGTTAAGTCTGAGACAGGTCTAAGTGATATAAAGTGAGAACCAGGTCAGGTCAAATCTATGCCAGTTCAACGTAATATGATCAAATCTGCCATATTTACTTCTTTTCCGGTTTGTGGTGTCAGCATTATGCAAGACTCATTGGCGTGACAAAGTGTCAGAAACACTGGCTTATTTATCAGAAGCGTGGGAAACGAATCCCCTTAGTTGTACATTGGTGAGTCGAACCCACGTGACCTCTGAGATTGACCTCACATTGACCTCACCTGCTATGGTGTGACTGTCTGACTTTTGGACCGTCATGCCAGTCGATGAATTACATAAATCTAGTTCAAACAAAAAAGAAAACGGGGATTTACAGCACGTGGAATCAGAAACCGCACATAGGCCTTCACGGATGATGTCCAAAGTCGGTGACCTGTTCCTGGCATCGAACATCATCGTACTCCAGCATGTGTCAAAGGAACCACTTGTCAGGCGCGTAAGCCGCGGTGCACCGATGTGGAACAGCACGGAAGTTAATGCGGAAACACAGTGTTGGTTGCTTTTAGCATCCCTACACTCCTAATGCGGCCTCCGATTGAAAACATTTTTACGATATATGACATCAATAGTGACTGAGACAAAATCACGTGCGTATTCCAACGCGACCCGCCGGGATACGTTAGTGTTTGTAATTCGCCAATGTCGATGTAATTTGTAATTTGTAATTTTGTAAATTTGCAATTTGTAATTCGCAAACCAGGTCCTGAGATGGGGCACCCCTCCCAACCTTCATCCCCTCCTCCAGTGTAGCAGATCTGGAACTGCTTGTGGGATAGACCTGTGACGACCTCACTCGTGACATCAATAGACTGACTCGCGAGAAGGGCCCTTCTCGCGAGTCATGGCAGGATAGATCTTATGAGGCCGCAGGGGTTCCTTTTTCCAGCAGTTTTCACTCACCAACACTTAATCCACACCAGCGTCTACACGCAAAGCCAACAGCAGACTTGTGTGTCCAGATCAAGTGAGCTTCCACGGTAACAAACGGTTCGCTTTATATACTGCCTCCAAAGGAAGCGATGATAGCCATGTGCGCCGAAAATTACGTACTATCATGCCATAAGCTACCAGTGCGAAGCGCGCACCACATCGTGCGGTGGGTGGAGCTATGAGACTAAACCAATCACAGAAAGTGGAATCGCCTTGCGATCGCCGAAACTATCTGAAGCAGCAGACGGCTGGTGAAGCGCTGAGGATGACTGTTGAGAGTAAGTGGCGAATGACTACGGATGGTACGCATAGCTTAGGTTCTGGCAGAACAGGTGGTGCGTGGTGAATGATCTGTTTGCCAGCCGCCTGAGTATGTGGTGATCCGATGGTACAGATGGTAAGTGGCAAATGATCGCCAGATGCCTGGGTTTGAACGGAGATAAGTGTAGTAGCTGTACATAACCAACCATAACCCACCTTTTGTGTCGAAATCTGGGCTTAATCTTATCCAGCAATCTCCCCCGAGCCGTCGCGATTTGAAAAAGACCCCAGACCATGCCGCGTGTTTTCGTGCTATGTCCACTCTTCAACGCTCAAACACAAGGTAACCCAAGGCTTTCATATATCTTGGAAATTCTGCAGACACAAAAATGTTGCGCTTTCTCAGCGACGTCTGTGTTGTTCTTTTAACCAGCAGCGGCTGCCTTGTGCTGTGGTTTCACATTACCAACGCACGTGTTTCATATTCGTGTTGCTGCAGATGACCGCGGGTACTACATGGGCACGAGCTCGGTTCGCCAGAATTCCAACTTTCCCCAAGCCAAGCTTTGCCGGCTGGACAGCTCTGCTTACTCGGACACCGCGTCCTTTGAGTTCCATGATGCTGGTAAGTACGCAGCTTCATACTAGCGTCTAGTATGATCATGCGAAAGCTATTTATGGACAGAGGATGTTGACGTAAAGCAGCCACAGGGACAAAGCTTGACCGTCCCTGCCCCGCCCCCGTATATGCCACAATAAGATTATGATGAATGGCGACCAGTATTGTATGTAATCAGGGCCAACCGATATTTTTAATCACATTGAACAACAGGAAACCATAATTGGCAGCAGGTTGTTTTCCAATTTTTGTTAACAGCACGGAGATGAAATTACTGCCTTACTTTTCTTTTTTGAAGTTGATGAAAGACACTATCATTGAGAGCTAAATCACCATTGGAATAAAGTGCATTCGGAGAAAATCTGATTAAAGTTGTTGAGTTAAATATCCTTATTGTGTACCAAAATCAGCATACAAAAATATTTCAGGGAACTCGTCTCACTCGTTCGGTCACGCACCACTCTTAGCACCGCGCTGCTTCGCACACACCTGCGGTGGCGCCTCGTCCAGTGCGAAGACGTCGCTTCTTTCTTCTCTGTCCTCGCTTCCCGCCTGCCGGAATGAGCTTTGCAAGGCACCGCCTCCCGATGCGCACCTTAGAGGCCTAGAGGCAGGCCGCTTATCTGGTGGGGCGGTGGAGCTCATCTGCAGGCAGCGAGTACCTGGCATGACATGCACTCACGCTTTACGGTCTTCCCGGCCGACGTACTCTGAAAACTCAGCCTGACTGGCCTGGCCGACGCCTCAATCCCTTGTCGCTCTTCCCATATGGCGGGATCTTTATCCATACCGAACACAACGCCACTGAGGGCATATGAGGCCCTTGGCGCAAACCATATCGATAAAGGGTGAGCTGCTCCCTGATCTCTCCCGAGGCGTTGTGAACCGACGGACAGATCCAGTCACCGCTATGCGTAGCCTCGCATCCTGGACGATCCGAACTGGTCCCTGGTCCAACTGTGACTTGTGCCTCGTCACGCCGTCACGCCTTAGACCGAGTAGGGGACAAACGAAACGCTTCGACCGTCTCCTAGCGCCAAAAATGAGCGATGTCATGCCTTCGAGGCTTCCTACCTCGCTTTGGGCGGGTCCTGCGCGTCCCGCTTCTGGCCCAGTTCCCAAGCGGCGCGGCGCTTTTTACACCAGCTGGGGTGACATCAGCGGCGGTACAGAGGTGCTCAAGGGATATGAGGCTGCTGTTCTTTTTTCACCGGTGGTCGGACGTCGCGCATTTACTGATCTCGTCCGGTCGGCCGGCGGGCAATGTTTCCTTTGGACATGGCGGCCCGATTCGGAACATGGAGCCGCCATCATATAACGTTATGGAAACGGCCCATGTCTGCCACGCGTGGCCGGACGTCGCGCACCGCTTGATCCCGTACCGCTTGATCCCGCAGATGTGGTCAAAAGCGGGTGCCATTCTCTTGTGGGCCGATCGGCCGCAGGTTCTGGAGGCTCCGCTTTCGCTTCCCAGGCTCTGCTCGGCCTAATAGCATTGTTTGGTATTGAGGGGTGTTCCTGCCTCGAGCCGGCGTATTTGCTGCTATGTCCGCCGTGAAGCTTCATCGATCCTGACAGACGTTGAACAGGACAAAATGAAAAGTGCTGTGATGCACGTGTACAGCTACAGGCCACTGCTTGAAATGCCTTCTTTTAGGCAGCGACACATTGCTTGAGTGTTGCTGTCTAAGCTAGATAGGCTTTTAGAACTCCGAGGTCCTACCGTGTTTACCTGAATATTTTCTTGCTCCGTTTTGCTGCATGCTTCATGTTATTAACTGCACGATAAAGGTGTTTTGTTCACTCTGGTCTTCTTTTGTGCTGCTGTCTAAATGCTCTGCCATTATTCAGCCATGTTAGACTGCAATAAGTTACGTTCATCTGCTGCATCGCCTTACTGGAAAATGGAAACAAGTCAACCGAATATTAGCATGCAAATACCAACGAGCTTGCCAGCCGTCTACGTCCGAAAAAAGCTATTAAAATGTGCTTACCTCCACTTCACTGTGAATGTTCGATGGAAAAATCTACGAAGACATGACCATCCACAACAGTCAACTAAACTGAAGCCGGTAGTCGTCCAGCAATGGCCAGCAAAACGACACTGGCCGTGTCAAACATCCCCAACGAGAGTGCTGTGTTACAGCCTGCAGCCCGCCGTGCGCCCAGCGGCCAGCGGTGTCCGTGTCAGCCTTTCAATGTCACCCTCATCAACACACACTCTTTTGCCTGATGCCGTACAGTTCAGTGTCTGGAGCTACATGACATTGACCCTTTGTCGATGACCGAAATCCAGTTTCGAACGTCGGCACTCTACGGCATGATAATGATGCCCGACTACAGCATCTGCCGCCGAGACAAAGCAAGGGAATGCATTGGAGCGGGAGTGTAGGTTGCTATTCAGTTGGGTGATTTCAACTCCCTGCCTTTGAGAGGAAATTTGGTCAGGTCTAGGGAAAGCCTGTTATTCCGAATGTCATGGAAATGTTCCGCCACTTTCCCCACTCTGCCACCAAATCATCGTGCACAATTGCACCTATGGGATGGTAGCTCAATGACCAAGACAGGCGACAGATTCGTCATCAGACTGCTTCACCGCCCAGCTCACAACACAGCTCCAAAGCGAAAAGTGTCTGGGTCAGGGTCTGGGTTGGGGTCAATCAAAATCTACGTAAGGTTTTTCTGCAACTTACACCAGCCACATGGCAGCACTGCAGTTTTCAACAATTACGACCGTATTTTGAAGGCATAGTGAGAATCGAATCCGATTATCGCGCTGAACATTACACTAAAACACGAGGCCGAATAAAAGAATTGAGATTCACAGAACAGCAATTTTGAAGTTCAGAACCGTCGCGTTTCTAGCACATCAATCCGAAAACTTTTTTTTGAAAAAATGCATGCATTGATTAAAATCCCAAAACAATACATTTTTCATAAAGACATCAGACATGTACACCAATAGGAATTTTCAAGTGCATATATCGATTCGTTCTAACCACTTCATTGGCGCGGTTCGTCAATGCGCACGCCGGTTTTTGTGAAAGGTCGTTGACTCAAACCTGACGTGTAGGTTTTTTCGGCCAGCTCACTTTCAGGCCATGATAGTAATTAGGGAAAGATCGAACGATTGCTGATGGATTAACACAGTGCCAATGCTTCAGCGCCGACAGCGGCTGGGTTGCGGGTCTGCCCCGGGCGGCCCTCGGAGGGAATATTCCACTTTTTAAGATATTGAAACAAGCATAAGATGTGATGAAATAGGCTCACTTATGACTGTTGGTATACTTTTAAGTGGAAAAAGCTGCTCAAGACAACACAATTTCTCCGCCTAGCGTATACGTTCCTGAATGCGTCATTGTTTTGTTACGTCATCGTACCTTGCAAAACATTGGTTGAGGGCTAATTGACAGCCGTTATATGTGGAACACGTCCTTTCGAAAGCCAGATAAGAACGACTCAACAATATTTTTGCCCTTAATCGCCGCGTGGCCAAAAGAATGGCAGGGTTTGAATGACGTTACCATGCCGTAATGAATGCCTGGATGACACTGAAAAAGTCTCCCCGAAATAGTCTGCACATCTTTGCAGGCGTGTAGCTCAGACAGTGAAGGGCTTTAGGTTTTATGAAGGGCGGGACTGTGGACTACACCGAATGGTATTTAAGTTGGCCTATTTAGTTCAAGCCCCACACAAATGTAGAAGACTCTCTTTGAAGGACGTACCCATCTTTTGTTCGTCCCTTCCGTTTAAGCTTATAGGAGAGTTGCAGGAAAGCTTATACGCCAAAGTGCTCGTGCACATTTATAACTGCAAAAGTGCTTCAGATGGGGCTAATTACATCTGAAAGAGGTGGCAGCACTAGTGTTGTATAGCGTTACTTGAAGCGCCTATTCTATGTTAACGTTACTTGAAGCGCCTATTCTATGTTAACGTTACTTGAAGCGCCTATCCTAAGTCTTACCCAAAGCCTTGCTCGTGTCCGTACTGTTCCCGAAATCTACACCCTGTCCGGCCGGTCGTGCATTCCATATCGGTATTCATGTCTTTTTTCAACCCGTGAATTCCTCTAGCATTATCTTTTTACAACAGCACCAAGCCATGTGTTTTTGTAACATCATTTTTTCGACCCACAGTGTATTTCGAACCGAGCAGGAAGATCTACCGTGCAAATGTCGGCGAATCTGTGCGGATGCGTTCGGTGCCCGAAAGGAATGCCTTTGGCAATCCGTATAGCGGTACAACATGGCTTCACAATAGGTGAGTTAATGGTGCTTTTTATTCTTTGCACAGCCGTTTGAATTATATTTCTAGATATTGCGTCTCGCGATAGCTTTAAATCGGGCTATCTCTGGAGAAATGTGTATAGAAATTCAACCGCATGTTTCTGCATGAAGGACTTTGGGAACTGAGTACTTGCTAGATGGGTGCATACTCACTCATACTCACTGACCCCCGGGAGTATGTGCCCCCTGGTGTGAAATTTATTGCGCATATTGATATGTACTTGGTATAAACGAACAAGACCCTCAACACCGTGTTTTTAGATATTACAGTTCACAGTTTCTATGCCGACAGTTCCCGACCTTCAATATACCAGTAGGTAGGTACTGGATGAGCGACGTTATATGGCACATATTAGTTATGTTGTCAGTACTCAACGTCTGAAGCAGTGCTTAGGATCACGAGTGACAATGTTAACGCGCTCCCGGGTGGGGGCCATATCAACTCCCCCGAAGTTTTTTCCGGAATGGTTTTCAAACAGCGCAACGTAGCTGCACCAATTCTTGCATAGCTGTAGAAAATGGAATATCTAGTCATTTGGTACAAAAAATGTGATGGATCTTGTAAGGTCGCTAACCTACGGCAGATCAAAGTCAGGCCGTGGATTCAGCGAAGTCAATCTCTAGGAAATCGTTAAATCTAGTCAAAGCCACACATCTCTGAGATACTTTCTCAGGCAACACAACAACTGAATTAACAAATTTGATTGATCTAGGATCAGCTATGAGGGTCAGGCCAAGGTCAAGACCAACCTGTTTTATAACTCTAGAGCTTGCAGTGTGGAGTCGTTTCTGGTGCCCAGTTTGTATTAATTGATAACAAAAACCGCCTGAGACATCTTCCACAGACTTCTTAAAGGTCAGAATAGGTCACCGATCTAAAATCACCCAGGTCAATATTTTGTTTTTAGGAACACACTGCGTAGCGTAATCTTTGTCGCTGATTCAAATACAAAACTCAAAGCAGTCTTGTATGATTTCAGTCGCCGTGACCTTCAAAAGGCCAGACAAAATCACTGACCTTAAACGAACATGACCTTGTTTGACCTTAGTTGATTCCAGGGTCATGACCTATGAACCTCAAACTTTGACCTAGGTTAGTTCACGTACAAACAAATACATCCTGCGAGTTTGGTGTTTCTAGCTCTTTTAGTTCCTGGGATCTCAGGGAGGGTCAAATTGAACCCCACCCAAGCGAAGGGCATCCAACCAGCCACATGACTGCGTGTCAGGCGAGATTAAGCAAAAATTACATTTGGAAACCAAGAAACTTGAATCTAAAAAACACTCTAAGTCTTTGGAGACACCGCGGCTCAAAAGATGCCAAAAAATAAGCAATTTCAAGTGTAACACCTTATAACACACAAGGCACGGTTCTACGGCAATGGTTGCATGAAACGCGGCGTGCTTAGCCTGAAGGTTAGAGTGACTCGCACCGAGTGTCGGCTTAGAAATCACTTACTACGAACATTCCACGAGAATCGATAACGCCCTGGGATTGACAATCACCGTCTCAACATCCAACACCCAGTGCTGCTTAGGACTGCCCGAAACTCAGACGGCTGAGGCCAAAGGTTTCAATGACCCGTGCAAGGCATCAGGATGGAAAAAATTGCCAGCGAGCGTCGAGGTTCATAAAAATTACTATAGAGCCGTTTCTAAACGTGGATTACAAAAACGATGCTGCTCAAACCAGTTCACATGATCTTGTTTGTAGGTTCAGCCTTGGATTAAGAGTAGGAACGTGCCGCGATTTTAGATTTTGAACCTGCATCGTCTTCAGCTATTGCTACCACTTCCATTTTAAAACTGTTGGTTGTTGCACTGCACTTCATGGCTGTGTGTTGGCCAACCAAGTGTCCCCTAGTGGTACGCGCACTCTGTAAAAGCGCGTCTCCGAGATGTTTATCAAGCCAGTCAGGAATGCTACGCTTTGTTTCTTCCACTTAAAGGGAATGTTCCACATTGGTATGACGTTTTAAACTGAAATAGCCATGTTGAGGACCTTTTGATGTAGTTCACGGCCATGTCCTTTTTAAGACCCAAAACACTCTGGTTCCTGAGTTTTACGCCCGCAAAAGTGCGAAAAGGTATATTGGGAGCATATTTCAAAGTCGCCTTGGCATTAATGACGTCATAGGAACGTCATGCGATCGCGGTCGTACTACAGGCTGTTTTCTGCTTATGGTCAAAACAGCATGGCCGCTGATACATTCGCAAAAGCAATGATGCGGCACGTATGATACAATGCGCGGAAGATGCTGGCTGTTGGCAAGATTTCACTGCTGACCGCGTGTCGCGAACGTAAGCGTGAGCACTTTCGGGTTGCGCGGCACGCGTGAACGGGACATAAGGCCATAGGTCAATGTTATGAAAAAAGTACGCCACTATCTGCAAGAAAGTGCGTCACCCAAGAGACAGGCACTCCCCCGAAAGCTATAAAAAAATAGACGCGACGTCAAATCTGTTTTTTATCCCCTGCTGACGTTTTTTTCTTCTACTGACGTATGTCTTACAGACAGCTTGGTTGGCGTCTTGTGCACCGGTGCACAGAACCTTGCACGGATCTATGGGTTAGCAAGGCATTATAAAATTAGGGAAACATTACAGCAATTTTATACATACATATACATATATATATATATATATATATATATATATATATATATATATATACATGTGTGTGTGTATGTATATATATATATATATATATATATATATTTCAGTAAATATTTCACACATATTGAACAACACATTTAAATCTTGAACAAAAAATTGCGTTCTACAAGTACCACCCCTTGGGACACATCACCCTAAACCCCCGTTGGGAATTTGTTTAGGAGGAAGGTGACGGTGAGATGCGGTGTTATAACCGGAAATCTGTGCGAAAATTGCGAGGTAACCTGCAGGTTGATAGTCCCGCGAGCTGTGCAAGTGTGAATTCACACTTATTTGACAAAAGAATGTGAATCAGGGGCTTGAAATGTGTGTGATCACTGGTGGTGTGTGCCAGTGGGTTCTATTGATCTTGATGTGATGGGGAGTGTGCGTGCGAGGATTGCACTTCTGAGAGAGGACATTGTTTTGGTATTCTTGATGTCTACTATCAACAAAATGTGATATATCGATACCTGCCTCTACCTTCATGTTTGTGTCTGAACATGACAAAGGAATGCTCGCAAACTTACAAAGGCAATCTCGTACTTCATCATGTTCTTGTCAACATTCTGAACCTATTGAGGTATTAAAGCATGTAATTAATCCACTGCATGCCATTATATCATTTATTTTGGTGGTAGGGGCTGATGCGTGAAGCTCCTTTATGGACGTGCTCAGTATAGGCTCACATGATATAGCTTTGCAAAATTGTCTTCCCCTAAATAATTCTGAAAATATAGAGCTGTATTATTTCTGATTCACATCCTACTGTCTTAGCAAATTTTGTATGCAGGCGAGCATTGCTTGAGAGTCATCAATCCAATAGTCACTGCAACTTGCGTCAGATGCTGGGTGCTGAGAAAGATGGAAAAGTATTGCTGTTGGTGTCGTGGATGGCACTTGCTAGTATTTTTATCATGAACCTTGTGTGCGCTGACAGCTTCATCACTTCCTTGCACTTTGTCCATCCAACCGTAACCACATGCACTTGTCATGTCTCCAGGTGTTGGTCAGGTCAAGGTTTGTGCAAGGTCAGGATATTTACAGTGTCATGTCACCACATGTAAATTTTTCTTGTTATTTTTTAGTAAATCAGGCTAATAGCTGCAGCATGTTGCATGACTGTGAAAGTGGAAGATGCGTTTCATCTTTCTTATTCACGTTTTGTGGATTCCCAAAACAGGCCGAGCAAGTGATGCCACTTATTGGTTGTCCGCTTTGAAGTGATTTGTATATTGCAAAATGTGTTTTAGGTCAGTCGTATGTCAGATGGGGCGTCAATACAAGTGCATGCTTGGCCCAACCTTTCAAGATGGAACTAATTATGAAAGCAGGATGGATTGCAGTACAAAAACCATATCGTTGTTCAAAAACCACAAAAACCTTATCGTTGGTGTACAATGTACCACATTGGTTGATTACTCTATGTCAAGCCTATGAGACAGCAGCTTATAAGTTATAAATGACTGGTAACAACTGATTTAACAATGCCAAAGGACTATCAACAGCAAGAATGTCATTGCACCACAATGGTATTAAATTTCATATGACACCGCATTTCCAGTTACAAGCAATAAAGAAAGTAACTACGGCGCACATCACGTGATATCAATATCAAGGCTACAGCACTGCAGGCAAGTATTGATCGACAATATACTTTTGACAAAATCATCAAGAGCGTAGCAGCAACGGCAACAGCACAGCGTGTCGTGCTTTGATATTAAAAATCTGCCATAAAAGCTGGCGATCGCTATGTTGCGTATGTCAAGCAGTCCACCAAAGCCTTTCTTGCGGCCAGCACCAAGACAAAAAAATCCACAGCGAAGCCGCCCGCTAATTGCCGCTCGACACAGCCCCCGCGACGAGAAGGGCCGATTGGCGTCAGGTTTCGTGTGTTTCGATGTATTCTTTAGGTCTGGCTGCCAAATACTGCCAGGTATTGCTGTCGTCACAGAACCATTCCATGACGCCATCGAACAGTGGTGTAATGGGGTGCACTCTTGCAAACTTGGAAATTTTGCTACTTAGCATCGTTTTGAGCCTTGAAAGCTTACCAATAGCTACCAGTAAGCTTTTCCCATCATATCTGATCCCTACCCCAATATCTTCAAATGTGGAACATTCCCTTTAAAATGTAGATAGGCGAAGGTTGCAAGAAATCGCACATGGATATAGGAACAGGGGGGGGGGGGGGCGGGGTCCATGTTCCCCTACACTTTTCAAGGTGGGGGAGGGCCAGCAATGTTAACTGGCTCCCCCACTTTCCAGATTAAGGTTGATTTGGCTCATTTTCGCACTACATTAAACATGCATGCCGAT